AGGGGAGGTCACGAGGCCACATGAAGGGTTTTGAAGGTTCTGAGGTCACACAAGGGTAAAGAAACTCAAGACACATCATTTCCTAAATTCACTCGCCACACCTTCACAGCACACTCTCTCTCTCTCTCTCTCTCTCTCTCTCTCTCTCTCAATTTCCCAAGGTAGCAGCCACGCCGTGAACTGAATTGGGTAAATACTGAGCCAGACAGGTAGGCAGCTGCTCTTGCTCTGGGTTAGAATGTGAGCGATTTTGATGCAGTGTTGAGCTCTGTGCAGGGCTCAAGTTGTATTGAGCGCCGCGTGGGGTAACAGTGCTTAAGTTGCGTTACTTTATCTTCTATGCCACTGATCGGTCTGTGGTTTCCTGCTGTACCTCTCTTAACGTCTTGTATACTGGGGTGACGTTGGCTAAATTCCAGTCCCTCCTGGATAAGAGTCTTAGTGGGATGTAAAACTCCTTTATCACCTTGGCCTGTGTTCCGTCCACTCCAGGGGCGCTGAATTATCTCAAGCTGACTATTTTTCTCTTGATAATGTCGTCAGTAATTGTTATCTCTCTTAACTCATCCTCCACCCCTGAGGTAAACATTCTCTTAGGTACTGGTATGTTAACCTTCGTCTCTTGTGTGAACACTGACGCAAAGTATCAGCTGTTTGTCTGCCATCCTCCAGGGCCACGTTGTGTTCATCCTTTGGGGGGGCCGACAGTATCCTTGGTTTCATTTTACTCCTTTCATAGCGATAATAGTCCATTTGTCATTATGGTAACCTAGATATTGTTAGTAGTATAATTTGGGGGGCAAATTCTTGATGATTAGGGGTACCTAAACACAGAGCCGCGGGATGACTGTCAGTCCTGGGCAGACCATAGCATCAGCCTAAGTCCAAGATGGCTGCCCTGACGACCGGCTATAACTTAGGATTGGAAAATGTTAAAAGACAAAACAGAGTGCTGTTAATTACACTACAGTAGCAAAATGGAGTCACTGTGCTGCTCAATGTGGTATACGCTGTCAGGTATAAAACACTGTATAACCGAAAACAAATTTATAACAATAGGTTGAAATTTTGAGTCACATTAACGATTAAAAGACAAAAAATAAGATATAATAAAGTTAAATATTTAATAAAAAAAAAGTCTGCTATTTCCTACAAGTCAACAGTTTTCTCATAAATGCTCCCTTTTGCGAAGGAACATCTCACTTAGAACATGAATCCATCCCCTTCTCATCCTATTGTAACTTTAAATATTTTCAATCTGGCGCGAGACGATTACACTCAGCTGAGGAAACCCTTCGGTATTGTCAGAGCGTTATTCTGCATTTTAATCTTTCCCAACTGAGATACACTGTCTTGTGTCCTCACCCCGTTTCCCCTCACTAACCCCGTCTCAACCCTCCTCTCTCTCGGCGCTCACTAGCGAGTGCTTCAAAGTCACACCTCAGGGAGATAGTGTCAACGCTAAGTGATAAACGCAGGAGTGGAGCCAACTGCACCTTGGGCTAGGGGGCGTGGCAGTAGATAAAAAAAGAAACTCCAAACACCCGTTGTGTTGTTTGTAAGAAAACAAAGAGTAATAGCGAACATGGTCGTCAGTGACGACTCGTCACAACACCTCTACAGTCTAAAGGGGAGGTCGTGGCGTACGTGGTCGTAGGCTGAGAGATAAGTGTTTATTTGGGTAAAGTAACACTCGTAGACACGTTTGTTGAGGTGCTGGGAGGCTGAAGCCAGCGGCGATAGCAATTATTATTATTATTACTGTATTATTATTATTATCATCATTATTATTATCCTTTACTTAAAGTGATACTCAGTTGGCCTCTTTACTAAAATGGTAACTCCCTTAAACTCATTCCGCGTCATTTAATTCCCACATTTAATCTCATTCAAAGTCATTTAAGTCCCACATTTAAACCCATTCATAGGGCTGTAAATTTATGTCCATTTTCTCTGGTGCGATAAAAGAAAATGAAACTTTGACATGGGGGACTTTCTTACTTTTTCTTTTTGGTTACATGATATAGCAATTATTTTACTTTAGTGTACTTTATTTTATCTTATCCTCTTCGCCACTGACCGGCCCGTTAGCCTTTTGGGAGGTCGATCACGTCTCTGTTAGGCACTGTGGGCAATTGGGCATGTACTGGCTCTGTTATCCACTGCTCGTAAGCAGTGCGGGTCTGTGGTACTGTGGGGTATGAGATGTTTGGTTCACACTCAGGATGGAATGGAGAAAGGAAACTCACGATGTACTCTCATGTATACATGTTGTATTGGATGTACAATGCAGCTTGGTACTGGGAAGGCAGCATGGTTACAAGCGTGATGTAGAGAGAGCTGGTTGGTGAGGATGCTCAGAGGAGGACCAGCTTGTGGGTCGCCATGCTCGCCGGCGGGAGTGAGGACCGCCAGGCAGCGGCGGAGGAGGTAGAAAGAGGGCAGGTCACAACAACAAAACAAAAATGCTAGTGACAGGGGGGAAGGAGGTTCAGGGGAAGAATAAAGTGAGGATTGAAGTGAATTTTAGGAGGAGAGAACAGATGCAGTGGCTAAACACCGCTTGCGTGAGGGATTATAAGATGGAGGTAGCAGCAACTCGCCTGGACGCGGCCGGGAGGCGACAAGACAGAGCCAGGCTAGCGTCAGGTCAAGCGTCAGGTGCGTGTTTGGTTGGGCAATGGATATTCAGTGCTTGGTCGGCTTGATTGTGTGTTTTGGTTTCTTGTGTGGAGGAGATGTCTTGGTCTCCTTAGCTTGATGTCGATTTTCTTCTCACTCTCCTCCTCTTCTTGCTCTCTTGAAGTGTCCATTCGTTTGTGTTTGGGTCTTGTTGTTCGTCTTCCTCGTGTATTAAGTTCTCATAGGTGTGGAAGAAGTCAGAGACGGTGAGGTTGACCACGTGGGCTTCAGCTCCACGGGCCACGTGGTGTTCTTGGTTCTGTGTGGTGGGCGTCTTCTCTTGAGTTTTCTTTTCTTGGTTTTTCTTTTCTGCTGGTTTTTTCTTTTCTTGGGAGCGTACAGCAAGGAGGGCCTCTTTGTAGCTCAGTTTCTTCTCAAGACGAGCCTTGGCTACCCTGCATTCCTCCTTCCATTTTGGGCAGGTCCGATCGGCGGAGGAGTGTGGGCCACCACAAGCAGCGCATTTTTTAACTTTGTTGGGGCAGACCGTGTAGCGGTGTCCAGGGAGTAGGTGTCCTGCGCCTCACACTTGTTTACAGTGTGTCCATAGTGCTGGCATTTGTAACACCGTTTCGGTCTGCAGTAGGGCTTGACTGGCACAGTTACCCACGCCAGTTGAGCTTCCTTGGGTAAGGTGGAGTGGTGTCCGATGAGGGCAGTGGTGTCGGACAGCTTCTTCACAACTTGAAGTTGCTGCCCCTTGAGGAGCTCACTCATCTCTGCTTTGTCCATGTGGGCAATTTCGGCGTGGGAGATTACACCCAGCTTCAAGTTGTCCCACATGTAGGCAATCATTTTAAAAGGAATGCCGTTGATGTCTGGGATCTCCGCGAGCTGTACGGGCATGCCCTTCTCGACGAAGGTGATCTTGATGTCACCATGGAGCTTTAGACGTTCCACCTTGGTGACCCCCACGATCCCATTAGTTTCAAAGAACTTCTGGAGAACTAGGAGGTTTAGTTTCTTGGGGCAGGTCGGCGTATCCGGACGTATCCGCGCCACGTAATCAAACTCGTAACCGTTCATGGTGAGAGAGGGTGAGAGAGTGATGGCAGGTCACCACGAGGTCAGGTCTTAAATAGCGGGGGGGTAGGCGTGGCTTAGTAGTTGACCCCCGCTCCGTGATGTATGGCGGCGCTGGTTGACCCAGACCACGAGGCATATACTGAGGAATTGGTGGGGTCGACTACTCAGCGACAAACAGCGTTTGTAGGGGAGAAATCCACTACAATACTCCCCCTTCCCTCCAGGCGGTGTAGGAGACTTGTTGTCTGCAGGGTTGCATAGCACATGTGAGGCAGAAGGGGCGGTGCGTGCCTCATGTGAGACAACGGCGATGGCGTGGATGAGCCTGTCGCTTGATACAACTGTCTAGATACACACTATCTGTGGGAGAAAAAGGGTGTGTGGAGGCGATGAATGTTGTGCTTCCCTCACGGCAGGTACAGGGTCGTCAGATGCGCCTGCTGGGGTGTGGGCCTGGGTCAGGAGCAGGGGCTGTGTCAGCAGAAGCGGATGAGGGCTCGTGACAGCAGCTGGGTCCACGACAGCAGCAGGGTGCAGGACACTAGCAGGGAGTACCTGAGGGAGAAAAGAGGGGTGAGTGGGTCCGCACTCAGCAACAGAGGCCGCATCAGGGGCGGCAGGAGCTTCGTAGTAGTCATATAGTATTGCAAGTCCCTCCCATGACTTTTCTAATATATTTTTACAATTATTTATGGTGATGTAACAACTCCCTTGGGCAAGTTGTTCCATATTTTTACTGCCCTTAGTTCAAAAGATTCTTTATTTCTTGTTGTCTTTGCTTCTTTTGAGTAAAGTTTCAGACATGTCCTGGGCGTTATGCAGTCTCTCCAAAGCTGAACCACATTTTAAAGATCTTCATCATAATATTCATGCATCATTTTGTAAATTTCGACCATATCAACTCTTAGCAGCCTTTATCTTAAGCTAGGTAATTTTAACTTCCTTTATGTCTATCTGGATATGCTAAATCTTTCAGTCCTGGTAGTTGTCTTGTTGCTCACCTCTGGACTATTTCTATCTTATCAATCACGTCCTTAGTTTGTAGTCATCAAACTGCACCAGTGTCTAGGCCTAAATAAAATCAAAAGGAGATTCAATTCCTTAAGATATTCCTTCATACAGCTTCTGGGGAGGGGAGGGACTGGTTTGTGGTCCTCCCTTCTTGCTATTGATCACTTCCTTCAAAATCACGATAGTAAATTTTCATAAAACATCAGGTAATATATTCCCACAATACTTTACCAGGGTTTTATGTTATAAGCTAAACAAAATCAATGCCTTCACATTCACAGCAACTGATACTAGTAAGGCAAGTTCAAAGAAAACGTGTAAGTCACCACTGAAGAGTAAGCTACATGTTGAGGGCGGTGTTTACTGTGTAGTGCAGGAGGTATATTATGTAGTTCATTTACCTATACTATACTGTAGTTAAAAAAATGGGTAATTATATAGGACTAACCCGCGGGAGAAATTGATTGAAAATAATTATAAAAAAATGGATTTTCTTTGTTATATTATAGTGGACACTGTTGTAGTTTGTGGAAATGTGTTAAAAAATTATAGTTTTAAAATAAACGCGACTGAACATTTGTGGGTATGAAGACCAGACCTAACCTAACCAAACCTAACTAACCTGACCTGACCTAACCTAACCTAACCTAACCTAACCTAACCTAACCTAACCTGACCTAACTTCCCCGGCGGGTTGGACCTATATATTAACCAAAAATAGTTAAGGCAAGTGACATTATCAAAACAACATGTACTTTCACAAAAATCATGTTAATTTTATTGAAGCAAAACTGGTGATATTTATTTGATTTCAGTATTGCTATAATAAATAATTGTACTTCATCATTCAGCACCCGATTCAGGGTCCGACTAATTACCCAAATGTAGCCGCAATAAAGTCAAAGGATGGTCGTACAAGCGTAATTCGGGCTGTGAATCACTTCTTGATTATTATTTGGTGTCATAAAGTCACAAAAAATTGGTAAACTTAATTTAATCTGAGTTGTGTTAGGTTAGGTTAAGTTAGGTTAGGTTAGGTACATGCACTTGATCTATTAACTCAAATTAAATTATGTTTTCCAATTTTTTTTTACTTTGTGACACCAAATACTAGTCGAGAAGTGATTGTTAACCCGATTTATTCATGTAGGACCATTATTTGACTTCATTGCGGCTACATTTGGGTAATTAGTCGGACCCCCTGATTCATACCTAATTAGAAATTAAAATCATTTTAAACATATGTATTGTTCTATGAAAAAATTCACAAACACAGTATTTTCTGTAGGAATAAGATCAATTTATGAGTTATAGTGTAGTTATGATTATGGACTCAATCTACCCAGCAGGTTGACCAACACCCACTAAGGCCGCAGAAAATACCATACATGAACAATGGGATCAAAGTGCAGGTGTGCGAAGATTACCAGAGGAGAGGTTGAGTAATCTGTGATGAGAGACGTCCTACGGGTAACCTAAGTAAGCCAGCAACCATTAAGTAAACTGCTCATGTTATAGAAGGGTAAAATTATCATTTCGGTTATCCACCAATTTGGAACTTTCCATCATCTTATTTCACCTGATAATTAACCACGCCAATGCTAACCTAATATAATATAAATTAAATTAACCAGCTGCAAGTTGGTGGTGTGATATACTGTATTGTATTGTACTAAATCCATCACAATCATCACAGTGGTTTGCACATTGACTCAAACTTTTAGGATTTGGAGTTCAAGATCCACCATTTATAAGGCAAAGTATTTCTGTTTACCCTGAGTTGCCATGTTATTTTGATTGATGCCAGTAAAAACATACATTTGAAATTTTAGTTTGTGATTGCACTCTGTATGGTTGAATGTGTGTACTGTACTATATAATGACACACTATTGTTTTAACAATGATGACGGTTTAAGAGATGCTGTTCACTGTATTGCTAAATATATTTACTCATATGTACATGTTCTAGAACTGAAGCACCATGGATATTCTTTCCAAGTTGGGGATATGGCAGTCACATGCAGGTCGACGCAGAAAGTTTAACAGGTATGTTTTGAGAATTATATTTTCACTTCTACTGTAGTTTGGGATTTTTTGGCAGAACTATTGCAACAAGGCATCAATTTTTTTATCTTTCTTTCTTCTTCAAAAGACGGAGTACAGTATAATTTTCCAGGCCTTAGCTGCCTTAACAATGGTTCGTTTATTATGACTCCAGTTTGAAATAATAATTATATAACTGTATACCCATTGACCTCCTCCAAGTGTGAATAAGATTTTCATGAAAATATGGATCTCCTGAAGATTAGGCATTGTAGCTTAAGTTTCTTGAATGGTTAAACTTCTTAATGTCACAAAGGCGTTAAGCTAGGATTAGGGTGTTGAGTCATCGGGTGAAATAGGCTCGGGTACCCAATCTTCAGGTGATTCAAAAATACTTACCAGAAATAAACTAGAAGGTTATTTGGACCCTTGAAGTGAAATACCAAGACCATAACAGAAATAGTGAAGATAAATGAATCACTTAGCATGAAGGGAGAATACTTGTGTGCCCACCCTTGATTCTGATCATAGCAGGAGAAAGGCTTGAATGAGACAAAATAAAAGTGGATCACCAGAAGATTAACCACCCTAATACTGTACTAACCTAACCTACATTAACCTAACTTACACTGGAATTATTCAAGCTTATTTCATCATAAGATTAACCACCCAAACACTAAACTAACTTAGCCTAATCCTCAGGTGGTATTTAGGTGTTTAATCATCTGGTGAAATAAGTTATGGTTCGAGGTAATCATCAGGTAAACCCAGATTTCTTATACCAGTTTTAATTCTTCAGGTACCAGAGGTTGGTAGTATATGGATTAGCAGTGACTGTTTTTGTGATGTGGGTTGTGGTCCCCCTCATCTTCCACTTCTCACCAAAACTTCATCATTTTTTTGTGTTACTTCACACAGGTATTGTAAAACTTTCTCTTGTATTTTTCATTGGGAAATTTGTAAGATTTTTAAACTTAAAATTAATTTTACTGTAATGGTCTTGGGTGAAGGGTTTAAGGATTTTTCAGGTCGTACTGTAATCGTAATTTATGATAGATAGTCTGATAAAGTTTAAGGGTTTGATAATGTTTTAAGGGCCAATTGAACACCAAACCTATATGCATGTATGAATGATTGGCTGTCAGTGTTTCTTGGTTATACAGTACCTACTGTTCAAGAGTGCTTTGTTTCCGTATCTGAGTTCCTATATATTTTTATAAAGTTTCTATTTCATATTGCCTACTTAACAATATTGGTGTCAGATTCACAGGGTTCACTAAGAGTGCTTATGGACGAACCTATATTATGGCATAGTGTACAAAATTTGCAATCTCACTGTGACCTTTTCCTAGTTAATAAGAAATGTACTACCAGAGTTACAGGAATAAATTTAATAAAAGAACAAATAAATTTTTAGCCTCCCTGGTGACTCGGCTTAATACTGTACTCGCCTCATTCAACAGAGACAATGCTCACCCTAAGGGACTGTTGAGTCTGACTAAGGTGTAACACCATGTCAGTAATGTATCCCTTCATCCAACTTAAATTTGGCAAGAACAACCACAATATAATGTAGGTGTTAGTGAGTATGACCAACATAAAATATATATACAGGTAACTCGCGTTTGATTTAAGCATTTTTGGAATAACGCAATTGTTCAATTAATACTAAAAGCTAATTTACGGTCACCTATTTTTTTAATAACGCGCTCAAGACAGTTTAAATTTGCCGCGCGTATTCACCTGGTTGCCTGGCAGTGGACGCGCGTGTGATGCCGGGTGAGGTGCTTCTAGGTTATTACTATATAGTCGCAGTCATATCAACATCAACGATTTTAATATTATTATTAACAATAATAATTACTGTATTATAATACTGTATTAATAAAGATTATTACTACTAATGATGAAGATAATGATGATAATGAATTGTTCTGTACAACAACTGTGACGACGTCCAGCAAGCTTCCCTCATATCGCTTTCTCAGTTCACACTACCACTACTTTTCCTCTATGCTTTCATTTGCATTGTGTGTTTATCACGCACCTTTTTAGTGTTAAACGCTGTTTTCCCCATTGAGCATGTCTGGAAAATGTCCATCTGCCTCTTTTGGGGCGCCTAAAACTAAAAAGGCACATTACGCTAACAATATTATTTATAAACACCGTTGGGTTTGGGTAATTGCTCTCCTGCGAGACACTCAGGGTCTGGCCTGTTAGTCGCCTCACGGCATTTGACTGCACCACATGAGAAATTATTGGATGTAATGAGTCATAGCAAGCTTGCTAGTATAATCACGATAAAATAATTATTTCTAAACGTAAGTGTCATCAGAACACAAACTTTTTGTTTACTCTTAATACATCACTTTTTACTGTTGTTGTTTCATGGGATTGCAATGTGAACCTTATTCTGTTATAAAGTTTACATATTTAGGAAAAATGGTTGTATCTCTTTTGATAAATCGGCCAACAGCCAAAATATTAGTAGAATACTGGAAAGAGCACATGTTTGTGTCCATGCAGCTAAGTGTTGTTTACAGATATTGTGCAGAGTCTTTATAATATGAGTCAGATTTACCTTATACAGTACTGTAATTATCATTTTTCTCTGTTCATACAGGTATTACTTTAACTTTGTCTCATTCCTCAAACTCCTTTGCTCTGGTTTAACCTTCTCTTTCACCACTTGACTTAGGATCAAGTCTTTAAGTAAATAACTATCCTTCCTCAGTGGGTAGAAACTCTTAGCATTTATTGGATCACTTGGATATTAGTCACCCCACCTTTTTCACCTGATTATTAAGCACTACAGTTTAATGCTACCTGGGGGTGTTAGATTAGGTTTGAAACGTTGGTTAGCCTTAAGGTGAAATATGTGAGGGTGATTTCATTTACCACATGAAGATCAGCTCTACTATTAATTTTTTCCCTATTCCAGTGGACAGCCAATTAGATTCCAACAACCCAGAGAATGTTGGTCTACCAGGAACTCGGAATTTCTATCTTCAGACAGATAAATTTGTCTTCATTGGCTTATGGTGAGAACATAATTGCCTTTTTATTATAATCAGTGTGTTATGTGGTAGAATAGGTAAGTATGTGTTAGAATAGTTCAGTAGGTAGTAGGCATCTACCAAACAGGGAGGTACTACCACCTTGAATTGAATTGAATTGAAACAGTTTATCTAGCTAGAAAAACACAGTTATTGGAAGCATAATGTGTTGTCTAATGGTAGACCCTGCTGCCATATGGCATCACGAAAATTTTTGCCAAGTCTCAGGTTGCTGATCTGACTTTCTGCCTCATTTACACACAATTGCAGGGTCTCAATTGTTTCTCTTACTCTGACAGCACAACTTATATCTATCGTTTCTCACTACTGTATTGATCTTTTTTTTAATTTGCAATTTTTTATAGTTCTATATTATTATTATATTTAATCTTTTTAATTTGTATTTTTATTATTATTATTAATATTATTATATATCTTCACCTCCCAGGCCCTGATGTGGGTCAGTGACCTGTGCCTGGATGGGCTAATCCCTTTAAAAAACAAAAACAAATTAACACTCCATTCATTTACATCCTGTGAATAGTCATTGTAATAGTGTACAGTATTTAGTTTTGCTTCAGAATATTGTTTAATTACTGTACTGTATAATTTTAGTGCTGTATGTTAAACTGGCGGGGGCTTTAGGATTGCTATCCATTCATTTGTCTGTTCATCTGTGTATATCTGTCCTCAGTTTTTTATGACCACTGGTCTTAGAAAAATCACTTAAAGGTGTTCAACATACCTGGCATACATTTAGGCAATATTCAGACAATAATACATAGTAAATAGTTTTTGGAATTGATGAAAAATAGCCAGCTAGGGTACACTGCTAGTGGATATGTACTGTAGTGAAATACAGCTTGTTTAGTTGACAGCATAGAACTCATTCGTCAAGTGATTTGTAAGACACAGTACAGTACCTATCAAAACTCCTTCAACGGAACTTATCTTATCATCTTGAGTTGTTTGTGGTCTGGGGGAGACGAAACAATCCCAAACAGATGAGAATAGCTTCCCTAAAAGACAACTGCTCACCACTATATCACTGACTGGTTTGAGAGGGTAATAGAATATTGGTCTGGCTGTTGCTTCAAAACATCTGGGAATTACTGTACACGTTCACTGGGTTAAAAGTTTTGCCGTACCTTGTGACTCAAACTACCAAGCATAATGTTTTAATGGAATCACCTGAAGATTATCCTCCAGTTTATTTCACCTCATCATTAACCACCCTAATGCTACATGTGGGATTACACTGCGGTAGACTAAGATAAAGTAGGTTAAGGTAAGTAAGGGTAGGGTTGGTGAAGAAATGATAAGTTATTTTATGGTAATGTAGGTTAGGTTAGCATTTGGGTGGTTCATCTTCAGGTGATCTTTTTACTGTTACCTGTGCTATAACAAGAGCTCTTGAGTTTTACAGTTATAGCTGACAACTATGTAGTTATATACACACACTACAACCTGTACTGTATATTTTTTTATCCCAAATTTCACTCGCAGGCACATCTTACCAGGATCATTGAGTCATTCAGCTCCCGAGGGAGACTCTGACCTGCGGGAAAAGTGGTTCCAGGCACAACTGAAAAATGACAGGCCTATCGTACTCTACTTACACGGCAACAAAGGTTCAAGAGGGGGGAGTCACAGGGTAGAACTGTATAATAAACTTCGTCAGCTGGATTACCACGTTATTGCCATTGATTACAGAGGTAGGTGGCTGTTTGGACTACCTACCTGTGGACATTTTGATACACTGACAGGTAGCCATTATGGTAGACCTTTTCTCTTTCTTTTTTCTGGGCTACTTATCACTTATTTACTTACCATACTCACTCACTTACTTACCTACCTTATTACTTACTATACTTACTTACATATTTATGTATTTAGTTATTTTATCCTCTTTGCCTCTGGTCAGCTTACTGGTTGGTCAGTTTTATGTCCATAATGAATATCTAAACACAGAAATCCTTCTGTAGGATTTGTCAGTTGACAATAAACTGAAATGTAATCTTTAACTATAAACATTATCAAGAGACTAACATTACCTAGAAATAAGACATACTGTATAGGGCCATACTCTTAGTCCTTCCCTCTCCTTGTGGAATAATTTCATCATCGTACTGACATATTCCTAATTACTTTATCCAGCACCTCTCAGTCCCAGTAGGTGCCAGATAACCAAGGTTCTACTGTATATTGGTGTACCCCAAAAACTGATGCCCCAATAACCACCAATTCTGACTCATTCCCGCCATCTTTGCACTTGTTTACACTTAACATGTGTCTCTGACTTCGTGTTTTTTTTATATCCGACTTCGTGTGTTATACAATCATGCCTAAACACCCCAGTGATAGTTCCTCTAGGGGCAGCTTGAGGTGATGCAATAAGGTGTAATAAAAGCATAATAAAGGTGGTGATGGACCAGTAAAGCTTGGTAGAGACTGAACTTGCCACCCTATTACCATCTCTACCATCCTCAGCTTTACATTGCTTATCTAATGCTTATTGTACTTGCTTCATATGAGGCTCTCCGCATTAAAAGGGGGTGAAGCGCCAAATTCAAAAGGCTGAGAAAAACGAGTTTAGACAACCATAACTTTGTTTGTTTTTTAAGCTAGAGGGTTAATTTTTTACTTTTCTTTATCATGCAGCTCAATCCCTCTCCTAGCGAACTGTGAAAACTTGCAGTTAGTACTGTGAATAGTTATTATTTTATTGCAAGTTGAATGAGAATAACTACCCATTATGTACAGTTGTTTGATCTTCAAACCAACAATAATCACATTCTTCTGCAAAATTTTCTTATTATTGTGGACTAATACTGTAAAACAAGTTAATGATCACCAAAAACAGCACTCGTCTTACACCCCCCCATAAACCTCCCAAACCACCTCCACCCCCCAAAAATGAAATACAGTAATAATAAAAAACTCATTTGCCTATTAGTAGCCAAAGATTTATAATATTGTTAAGTATAATAGTGTGTAATGATAAGGAAACACCACTACACTCATCCCCCACCATTACCCCCCAGCCCATGCCCCCCCAACATAATCAACATAGGCATACAAAGGTGGAAAAAGTTTGCATAATCTTTGGTAAAAACAGCATTATGATAATAGCATTACAATCTTACCTTGTTTAGTTCCTTTGTTTTATTATCCCTGAAGATCGTAGCAACTTGAAGTTACGTAAATCGTGAGGAGTGCGTATAACTTTAACGGCCTCGTCATAATCATTCACGTCTTGATCAAAGTCTTTCTCTGCACTTTCTAAAAATCGCCACACTAATTCTTCATCAACTAAATCATTGATAATTGATGCCAGCAACAGTTCAGTTTCATTATAAGACTGAGGTATGGGCTCACTTTCACTAGCATTCGTTGGGTCAGGCTCACTTTCATCACTATCAAGATCAGTGCATGTCCTGTCACTGTCCACTTGTACCTTTTCACAGTCTGTATATTCTTGTTGTGATACATTAGTGTCACTGTTGTGCTACCATTAGACTCACTTTCATCATTTTCATCTTCACTTTCATCGTCATTATTGCCGTCAGTGCATGTCATGTAACTCTGTACCAGAACACAGTCTGCAAAAAGGTCTTGTGATGCATAGCAGTCACTTTTTGTATTATGAGTATACCAAAATCACTATCACCAAGCATTCCTGGGGTGTCCACATGAGCACTGTCGTCAAACTCTCGCTCAGGAATAATAGGCTCCTGAACCCACACCAGAAGGCCTGGCCTCACTTGAGTCTTGCTCCAATATCAGGCAGATATTGCACAGCACTTCTCACACCCGTGGAACACGAATAACGTCAATGTTACACCGAAAAGTTGTCAAAAATAGCAGTAGAAAGTACACTGAACTTCCTTATGCTACACAACGTGCCAAAACTAACAAGGAGGCAGCATCTGGGTGCGCGGATTGGCCGAGGAGCTGTGACGTAGCAAGGGTAAATCCATTGTGATTGGCTGCTTCAAGGGGTATGGTCCGAGGGATGCATGCTGTCATTGGCTCACGCTCCTCTCCCTCTGAATGGGATGTTGCCACCTTACCATATTTCTATTCTAGCTCGAGGGTTACATCCAACGCCAACATGTAGAAGAAGGGTGAAAACAGTGATATCCATCATAAAACGCATCTTGGCCAGGGTGTCTCTTCACCCCCTTCTAATGCTGAGTGCCTCATATGTCTGCTTTATTTTTTTTGCTTGACAGTGTGCACGACAAAGATATGTCGAGTGTAGATGGGAGTTTATGGAGGTTGACCAGTCCCTAACCCCTGAATTTGTTATGTTCTTAATTGGATTAATTGATTCAATAACCGTTAGTTCACTAACCAACGACTTTTCCCGGTCCCTATATCTGTCAGTTATCGAGGCACACCTATGTATCTTGTCATACTCAACCTCACTTTGCAGCCACCATTTAATTTGTCTGTATTAATATAAAAAGTCTTGTTTTATCTTCTCAGGTTTTGCAGATTCATCAGCTGGTGACCCACTTGAAGAAGAATTGGTAATGGATGCAAAGGCCGTCTTCAGTTACCTTCTTGACTTTGCTGGAACTTCTCCGATTTTTGTCTGGGGTCATTCTCTTGGTACAGGGTAAGTTTAAGTATCTGAAGTTATTTAACCATCTGCTATGAACTAAATTTAAGGAAATTACTCTGATTTCTCAGATCACCTCCCCCCCCTCCCCTATATATACAGGTCAACAAATGTTATTCGCGGATTTGGTGATTCGCGGCCATTTTGAGAAGCTAACCCCCGCGAATTTGGGGGGCCCCCTGTACTGTATATGTGCACTTTGTGAAAAAAAAAAATCGGCTTCACTCTTGGGTCTGAAGTGAATACTATGAATCCTGTTGTTTAAGTAAAGCTGGTAACTGTATGTCTGACCGTGAAATTTGTGGACTACAGTAGCCTGGACTGCTGCTGGTCGTGACCTCTTCACTTCAAGTCAGACCTTTATATTCTCACTTTATCTTTACTTTAACTCACCTGTAGTGTTTACTTTTTTGGGTGGAATAAAACCATTTAGCCATTTTTGTTGTGTATTTAACCATTTGTAGTGTATTTTTTCTGATGTTTACACCCAATGGTACATTTAACTTGTAAACCCATGTCACACTTTAACCCGTCTACACAGTAATACGGCCGCTGACGGTCCCTAACTCACATTATTGGGCAACTCTCCTGTATCTCTTCGCTACAGTACTGTCTTGAACTTTTTTCTTTCTTTCTTTTTTTAATTAAGAAACAAAATAGGATGAAATATACAGTAATAACTTTTAAAAAACAAAGACAACTGAAATTATTACAGTATTTTACTCACATTAAATATTACGGTATTATGCAAGGAACTGGGGTTAAAATGTAATACTTTAGTGATAAAATAGAACACACTCAGAGATGTGTTCATAAATTCCTGTCTTGGCCATGCTATTCAATATGGCTTTCTTTCATATACTGTACTTATTTCCTTTGTATTAACCAAAAATAAGTCTTAGACGCATCTCCCCGTAGATCATATGATGTACACCCTTGTGGTCCACTCCTTAAATTTTTCAATATACTTAATTTATTTTCATACTATAGCATATGACAATATACTGTAATCTCCCTGAACCTTCTATTGTTTTCATAATTCACCGTTATTATAACATTATTTAATATTTTATAGCATGATTGACAGTAAGACTTATATTACAGATATTTTATGGTACATACTCTTTAAAGATAATGAAACACTGAAATGTGTTTTTTTATTGATGACAGTTAACCTGGTATTCACCTGGTATTTACTATATTTATACAGTACTTTTATTCACATTAAATTGAACATATTTTGCTAAAATACCACAATCAGATATCTTTATTGTAGCAAATGGCAGGAATAGAGTAACTGACAAATTGCTATAACAGGAAAGCTGGGCTGTTAATATAAGCCAAGACTTAAGAGCATTGGTCAGAATTCTTTGTCCATTGTTCCATATTGTGTCACACTGAAAAGGTGAAGATAGTTTTTGTTGACCTTTTCGAGGGGGCGGACAAAATCCTCCTGGACAAAGCTCCCTCAGTAAAAGTGTGTAATAGGACAACCCCCCCCCCCCACCTCCCGAGGGATTTTGTCCTAGGGAGTTTTTGTCTGAGGGGATTTTGTCCTACACTCTGCAAGGGGATAGACTAGCTCCCACAATCAGGTTTTGTAGGCTTAATTTTCTTGTTACAAGCTTACAACAGATTTACTATTATACTGTATAATGATCTTGACACATCAAGTCTATGTGAATGCATTAAGATGGGGTTACATGAAACTATTACATTACAGTATATTTTATTGTGTATAATAATTATAAATATTTTTGCCCGGGAGACATAAACGTGCAGATTAACACCATCCACTGACATAAAAAATGTGCACACATTTAAAACTTATCCCCAGTGTACAGTACAAGTATAGTGGCCCTAAATAAACATTTACTATATACTGTGTTTGTGGATTGCATCATATGTCAACATTTACACAACAGGGTTGGAACTTGGAGACTCAGAATTACTACTAAATACAAGATCTCATTGAATACACAGAGGCTGGTAGACCTATGGAATGGTCTACCAGCCCAAGCAGTGGAATCAAGAACAGTACAAAATTATCAAGAACAAAGGAAAGATCCAACACAGGCCACTGGCCTCCTTCCCTTGGCATGGTCACCTCTAGTGGGTGGCCATTAAGTTAAATAAGGTAAAAAATAATAGAACAAGAATCATGAAAGTTGTGATAGAAAAATAAGGAAGCTACTGTGGAATAAAAACTGCAACCCTCTCAGATCTTGTTTGAATTGATCAATTAATTTTTTTAATCAGTTATTGTTTATTCTCACAAATCTTTGTTTGATGAACACTCGCCATACACGGTCCAGATAAATCATCATCTGCCATCAATGATCTAGGTAAATTCTTCACCTTCTCATTGTGCTAAATGATCTCCCCATTGTGCATGTTGTCATGGGTAATGTCAGAGCAATAATAATTGCTTGTTTAATAGAAAGAAATAGATCAGTGTGTTTGAGCAAACCCTCAAGTCTGTCATTTTGGTTCTTGTTTGAGACCAAATTTCAAACCAGGTGGCTGCTTCACCTAAGTTTTTGGAATCAATTAATTTAATGATTTTTGCAATCTGGTCCTTGAATTATTCTCATGTAACCTTTGTAATTTATATTGTGTGTGGAGAAAAGGGTCCTCCTTTTTTTTAGGCTGCAAATCCACTTTCCAAATATGATACATAGACTGATCTACAAAATATTCTTCTATAGTTCAGCGTTTGATGTTTGAACAGTGTTTCTGCCAACCACACTGCCTAGGACGGGTTAGCTCAATGTCCAGCTCTGCTGCTAATTGTGACGATCTGTAATCTTGGTACCATGACACAGGCAGTACAGTACAGTACAGTACAGTACAGTACAGTCTATCTAAAATCACCAAAAAATAAAAATGACAACTGTTCTAAAATCACAGTGCTGTACATACAAAAACATTTGTGCTCTTAGTATAAAATCACAGCTGTGACACAAAAAAATTAATCTAAAATCATGGTGCCATGGCAAAATAACATCAATACATATTAAACAATTACCAAACTTTTCTTACCCTGTAACCTCATGTATTCCAACATGGTAAATGATTGAATCTAAAACAGAAGCGGTCAGTGTCACAATGACATCTTGTACAAAACTGAAGTCGCTATGTGAATAGTCTACTGTATATGACCTGATTTAATTTCACTGGTGTTGTCAAACTGCTGAACTTAGGGTCAGGAGAGTCTTAACCTCAGTTACCACCTGCCTGGACCTCACTTACTGCACCTGCTTGTCTGACCTCTGAAAAATTACTGTGTAAATTCCCTAACCCAAACAAATATTGCTTTTCTTTGACACAAGTTTGGTCATGTGTGGGGGCGTGTTGCTTCTCCCCCCCCCACCCCCCTCTCCCAATATGCCCATGGTTCTTCAACAAGTATTTCTGTGCAGCTAATTTCCTTACTTAATATTTTCTCCTCCATCAGAGTGTCGTGCCATGCAGTATTAGAGCTGTGCAGGAGGAAACGGTGTCCTCGGGGTCTCATATTAGAAGCTCCATTTAACAATCTTCATGATGAAATACAACGTAATCCTTTATCTCAGGTAATATAATTCTTAGTATCATATAGCCTAGCATAATCCTCAGTACAGCACCAATATTAATATGAGAATAAAAGTTTTGATCTCCTCAAAATGCAGCATGTATCTCCATTTGCTGTGGTATACACGCACGCACGCACACACACACACACACACACACACACACACACACACACACACACTTGTCAACCGTCAGTGAGACAAGACGTGCCCCGAAGGTGCTTCCGGTTTTAGCAGCCAGGCCGAGTCTGTTTGGCCCTGCCACTGCCCCTGCTATACCCCCAACGCCCTACCAGCCTTACTACACCGGGATCTATTCAGCAAAACATTCTAGTGATTAGTGAACGATTGATTACCGAGCAGTGTTCCTATAGTGCACTTAAGGAAAAGCACAAAAGCACAGCAGTGTGACTGGACCCGACCTAACCTGACCGGGACTTTCTTAGCAAAACATTCAAGTCATCAGTGCAATAAGTGATTATCATACAGTGTTCCGATAGTGCACCCCAAGGAAAAGTCAGACAGTGGGCACTTTATCGGTCACCTTTAAAGTGCCAGTGACAAGGACCACCGCGGTGTTTACATATATCGTGAAAACTGTGTCGGCGACCCCAAGCACCAGGGACAAAGACCCAAGGTTTTTACGACTGACAAATATTAACAGATGTCTACCAGTGTCAGTGGCCCTCAAAGTGCCGTCAGTGACTTTATGGCGGAAGAAAACACTTCGGTCCTACCCCAGATATCAACAGATGTACCAATCTTCTCGATGCTCTCTGTACCATATAAAGCGTGGGAGCGTTTATCCTGATGAAAGTGTTATCGCGGCTCAAGTCACTGAACATATTCCACGCGAAGAGTAGACAGGGCCGTCGTACATATAAGCCCATTAGAACGTAATCTTCACTAGGAACCGGAGAAACCTATTAGACGTACCTTACACTGAAGTTCCAGGATGTGGTATGATCTCCGTCTCTACTGCTATCCAGCGTCACTTCCTAGCTAACAAGTTTGGCGAGCTGGCAACTACGAGTCAGGTCAGCCGCTGCCAGCGTCTTTGCCATATGTGAGGCTTGGCAAATTGTGCTAAACGTGTCATATTGAGGATATCAACTCTTTCATCACCTTCCACATAGGCGGAGGGGCATTGCCTCTTCTGTCAAGATGACCTGCCCGTCCGCCCTGGATGTTCAAGTCCCAGCAGATGTTGGCAATATGGGTACATGTTGTGCCAACGGGCCCACCCAGCACTGCTTCCATCATAATGTGTGTGGCATACCATCCTTCGCTCACCCACCAGAGACACTTTTAACAATCATCTCATTACCACCTCAGGTTAGGTACCCATGTGCCAAGTTATATTATGTGGGATTATAATGAATGACACCACTGATATCCGGACCATCTTCACTATCACAAGTTGTGAACTTCCCCACCCGGTCAAAACTCACCCTTGATTATCTTAACTGACTAAGCGGACCAGTACCAACCACCTCAACCAATGCCTCCTATCAGGTGTATGCCCATCAGTGCTCTGGTCCCCAGCTGCCACTCCCTCAAGTACAAGACCTACATCAAGACCTACAGGCGATTACTGACTCTGCAGTGGTGGATGACGTGGAAACCAAATGGATAAATTATACCAACACCACCACGAGCTCACCACCACTTCTTCCCGAAGTCCGTCAGATCTCACCCAGCTGACTGCCCTGGATCCCAGGATCAAACGATAGTGCGTTAATCTGAGAGATAGGCTTACGGCTCTGTAAGTGACGGCGAACTCTGGTACAGGCGAACGCCTGCGCAACAACGGATGCAATGGCACTGCGTGCTGAAAAATGCATTTTGACGCACTTAGTAGAAGAATTTGAGTAGCAAAACGCCTGGACAAACTAAAATTAAACGCTCTACCACCCCAATGACTTACCAATGAAACTCTTCAAGGAGTTCTCCCGGAGCTTGCTAAACCCTATGCTCCATCATCAATGCTTCTCCAGTCAAGGCAGATGCCCAGCTGACTGGAAGACCTCTTATGTATCACCAGTGCCCAGTCAACCATTACAATCCTTAAATCAGCTATGACCTATTGCAATCACCCCAATACCCAGCTTAATCTGTGAAAGTTTTGTGTTGACTGGGCTTATGCTGATATTGCAGGAGTCTGAGCCCTCAGCAATTTGGCAATATGAAACTTCCTCCACCACTCACTGTCTTGTCAGCTTTCTTGATTACATATACGCCATCTCGGCGAAAAACGTCTGTAGCTGTCGCCTTCATTGATTTCACGAAAGCATTCAACCTAGTCGACCACAATATAATCATCAACAAAGCTATTGACCTCGGGCCGGAGAAGTCTTATACCATGGCTTACAGACTTCCTCAGTGACCGACGCCAAGCTGTGCGCTTCGAGGCTGTCTCCACCTTTCAGTCACCTGTGGCGTTCCCCAAGGCACCAAGATGGGACCACTCTGCTTCCTTATGCTCATCAATGATGCCTAAGAGAAACCCCTGCTGCTGGAAGTATGTCGGCGACTCCATCATTGGGATCAGCGTCAACAATTCTCCTTCCTATACCGCCCTTCAGGATTTATTGAACAGTCTCCAAAACTGGGCCACCAACAACCATGTCAACATCAACCATACCAAGACCATGGTTATGCACATCAACCTCTCCTCCGACATTGTCCCTCCTTCCATTACTTTTGGTCGAACACACTCCAGGTTGTGGATTTCCGCGGCTCCTCGGCGTCACCATAGACAACAAACTAAATTGGAAACCACCGTCAGGAAGTTGTCAAATCCTCAGTTTCCGTCTCACCTCCTCCGCCGACTCAAGTCCTCGGAGTTCCTGCGAGCTCCTCAGTGTTTACACAACATTCATACTTCCCAAGCTCACCTATGCCTCCCTACCTGGTCTTCCTCCTAAATGCCACACAAACACCTAGAAAAAGTGCAAGAGGGCATGCAGATTATTCTCTCCCCTTCCTACTCACATATCAAGAAGCTCAACACACATGACCCTTTACTCTCACTGACCATCACACGACCTCATCAGCATATTTGGTAGAAGCTTCTACACCATCCTCGACACCGGCTCCTACTACTCACCTGAGATCCTAGCCGAGAATGCTGTTCGACACCACAACCGCATCCAGCCCATACGTTCCGCGAACTGATCGCTATAAAGCCCAGTCCCATTGTAGAAATTATCAATAACTTGTAATAAACCAGTGTATTCACTCCCAGTAAATACTACTTCTTGCACTGTCACTGTGTTGAAATGCCCTGTAGTTTGAGCTTTCCCCATCTAGTTATTATATGTCTTATTTGTATCACTTATGTTACTTGTATATTATTTGTAATTCGAAACCCATTCCCCAAATATGTAACTGTATATTTTCAGCCTTCTGGCTGCCAAGCTCTTTCAATAAACCGTTAATTATTATTATTATTATTATTATGTATGCACAAGATTCAGGCAGAGATCATCTTGGTCCACTGCTGATCTGCTCTTTGTGCATTTTGTAATGGTCACTGTCATTTGTATGACCTTCAAATCTGCACCAGAAAACTTTATAATGCCCCAGTTCTCATATACAGTATTTATCATCTCTGAAGATTGAGGCTGTAACACTATATCCTAGTACAGCAATTGAAAAATATATGATTACATAAACTTTGAATTGTAACTGAATAGTGGGGAACATTAACTCCAACAGCTTGTTCTCAATTCCATTTTCTTGAACACAATACAATTACCACAGAGATTGTAGTATAAGAAGTATCACTTGGCCAAATCATAAAGAAATTTTCCTACATTGGCCCTCTGGCAAAATTGGTGAGAAGATCCAATGACACCACATCTGTAACATGACTCGTGAACCTCATCTATTATTGTAGACATTTGTACTGTACTACCATATATATATAATGTCTTCGTTGAATATGGCTGATCCTTTCCTTTCAATACTGTTTGGAAACCCATGAAAATGAATGTTTGGTTCCCTAAGTATTGTATTGCAGTTTAACACAGCAGTATGATCCACCTCTTCTCTTATATTGAAGGTCCAAACCATCCTGAGACACTAAGACCATTGTGTCTGTTAAACTCACATTCAATTTCCTGTGCCATAAGATGCTTGACAGTGGTATTGTATACAGATCATTGTTTGTCTCCTCAGTCCTACAAAAATATTCTCATCACAATTTTCCATATAGAAATGATACTAAAATATTAATGCTTTTGCTTACTTTTTATTTGAAAATAATGTAATGATTCTCTTCTGTTCTCAGATCTTTCATCCCTTACCGTACTTTGACTGGGCTTTTATAGACTCTGTGAAAGATACTGGGTATGCATTTGAAAGTGACAAGCACATAGCTGACATCACATGCCCAATCCTCATTCTCCACGCACAGGATGATTATATCATACCCATTGAACTTGGCCGAAAGGTATGTAATTTTACGTGTGATTGCTTGTTACAGTCATTTTCAAGAAAGAGCAACATTCAGGGTATTTCAGAATAGCTATTCATTTTTTTTTTTTTAGTCAATCCTCACTTAATTGGGTATTGGAGTAAATACTAGACAAGTGAACATCTTGAAACAATCATGGTGCAGGATGTTTCATAGGTCACACACCATAGGAAAAATTAATAATCTCTTCACTTTTTTTCTTATTCATTTGAGTGAATCAAAACAAACAAATTTAATCAACAACACCGAGGCATATGGGTGTTTTTGCGTAAATTCTTCTGCAACTGTTGAGTGTGTAGCATCTGGCTTTCTGTACACGATATTGAACTGATTCTTTCCTCTTACTGTTGATTTCTCTGCCTTCTTCATTGACTTGTCAGGATTCCCTCACTTGAATAATAAAAACATTAATTTTCCTAAGTCTTCTACTAGACCCATACATCCATCATCCCACCAAGTCTTCTGTTAGACCTATACATAAAATGGGATGTCACAGTGTCATACAGTACTTCAATCCTTCATATTTATTCAGTCATAGTTATTATTCACACTATGAGTACAGCTTAACAATAATACTTAAAGGAATTATGGAGAAAGAATACAATAGGCCATGGGAACTTAAAAAAATTAAATCTTTTTGTAACAATTGATGAAACATATTTCATCGACTGTACTGTACTGTACTGTACCTTTTTCTATTACAGCTCTACAGAGCAGCACAATATAGACAGCAGGCAGAGAATTTTCCCACAAGATTTATTGAATTTAAGGCAATGTACGGTTATGGACACAACCACATTTCCAGAGCACCTGAGTTTACAGAAATTATAAGGTAAAGATACTTACAATATTACCAGATTACCTGAAGATTAACCACCCTAATGCTGCCTTTAGGGATCAGGTTAGGGGGTGAGTGGTGATAAAGTTACAGGAAAAGTGTCTCAATTGGGGCTGGGAAAAGCTCACAGGAAAAAGTTACATTCTATTTAAATATCATCAGCAAAATGGGTTGGGTTGGGTCAGGTTAGGTTAGGGTTTGAGTGTTTTCTTTGGTCATGTCATACTGTATTTTGACATACAATTTTCAAAAATGAAAACCTAACTACATCAGACCTAACCGAACTACATCAGACCTAACCAAACTACATCAGACCTAACCAAACTACATCAGACCTAACCTAACTCTCATCTGCCTCAAGCTGTACACTGTGACTTTTCTACTGTTTTTACTTTTTTTCTTACATACATTAGATGAGACAGGAAAACTAGAGGTATATATTTATTTGGTAAGTAATCTGGATCACCTTATTTCACCTTAAAACTAACCACCCTAATGCTAACCTAATCTTACCTCACCTACCCTACCCAGACCTGAATTTAGGAAAAGGGGCTATACCCCTAGCCTACATGTCTCGCCTAACATAATGTATAAAGAACCATTGCACAAGAAGTTGCCACACCTTACTTTCAAAAGCCATAAATATATTTGAAATTTTTAATAGTTGTTGAAGCATTTTGAATTTTGTTTTGGTTATCTCAGTGAAAAAGTTGCCATCTACTTACACAGTGAAAGGAAACCAAGTGAGGCTCTATACAGTATAGTGTAATGTACCTTCCCGGGAAAATTAGTTTGAGATTAGAAATACTGTATCTACAAAGGTCTACATGGGGTTAAAAAATACAGGATTTGCAGTGTACTGTAATACCTTCAACCAGGAAATAACATTAAAAGTACATTATGTACAGGTCAGGTAGTCATCATTTATATCGAGGATTCCATTCCTGAAAACTCACGCAAAGTGCAAAATTGCAATACGAATGAGTTAGCTTCCCGAGAAACCATTCATTAAGTGTACAGTATTTTCATATCTCAACAGAACATATGGGAAAAATGTGGTTCAGTTCCCCAGTGACAAGAAACCCCTCAATGTCATATCCAAAAACATGAAATCCTATCTAACTGATATGTAAACAGTACATAACTACTACAGTGTACTACTTGACACATTAATAAAATACAGTATAACTTTGGTACATTACTTTATGGGAGGGCAGCCAGGGCTCACCATAATGAGGTGAGGAGGTGTCACCAACAAGATGTTTCCCGATCATTGTAGGACCTTCGCCACGTTCATGATGTTTTATTACTTCCAGCTTGGTCTCAAGAGTCACAGCCGTTCGTATCTTCTTCGGTATAGTAAGGGAAAAATTGGCAGAATGTTTGGGTGCCGTGATGAAAAGAATAACAAAAGGATAGCACGAATACACACGAATAAAAAAGAACACTTCCCACACAACGAATGGTGGAAGGAAAGATGCAGTCTTGTGGGAGGTGCAGGAGGAAGGGGAAGTTATGATCAGTGAGCGAGAATATGTCTGTGTTCTCTTCATGGTGGTCACCACAGTTGACTCCCAGTGGCACGCGATTTTAATTTTTGCTGGGACCGAAATTCGTAAAAGCGCGGAAGGCCTTCTTTAAATGAACGAGATTTGTTATTTTAGGAAATTCATATAAGCAAATTTTCATATCTCTAACGTTCATGAAGCAAGTGATACCTGTACAGTACTGTGTGTGAAACTAATTTTTCCATAAGAAACAATTTATTAAAGGAGAATGCTTTTGGAGCAGGGAATTTGGGCAGGTAATGGACTGATTTTTTGTACAGAAACATTTAATAATTGGTGAAAAACCTTATCATACTTATGTACTGTATATGCCAGCTTCTTTAAGCTAATTACACTGTTTTTTATTCATTCTAAACGGGAAATTATATTACAATAAGGCTTTAAAATTCTGTCGACTGATGACTTTAATAATTAGTAAGAGGACCAAGTAAATTTAAAAAAAAAAATTAATTCATAGATACATTGACCACTGAGATGTCAACCTCCTTTTCACTTTTGGGAACTCACATGGTTGAGGCTGCTTCCTGTGATGACCCAACAAGTTAGGCAGAGTATATTGTCCATCAGTGCAATGTGATTTCAGATATATAAATGTTCAGTTTAGTGGTGCAGTGCTAGTTAGCAGAATTTCCTCACAAAACTCAGATGCGCATTGTTGGTTATTACTCACAAACAACAAATCACTTAGAGTAACGTAGAAAGGGAGTAAACTTATAAAAATAAAGTAGAAATGGGCTTACAAGGTGTTGTTGCTTATGTTTACTTTATTTTGTGTATTCCAGAAAACTGATTGTGTTTCTAAGTAATAACCATGACTATATATGAGTTTTAAAAAGAGGCAAATTGAATAGTTATGCATTACTAAACACAACCTTAATATACTTCAGAAACTAAACAATGAAGTTCTTTATGGTTTGAAGAGAAGGGATCTTCTTTAGAAAACCAGAAAAATTTATCAATCTGGCAGGTGCTCCTATCGCAACAGCTCGGGTCACACTGTACAGTAGATAAGAACCAGTTGTTTATTCAGCCTGCATAGATACACTTAACTCAGGGTTTTAATATTATCTCTTCCACAATAGTTTGATGGGTTCATGACACTGCCAATCTTCTAGGTCACACCTTCATCTCTTCCTGTACATAAACTGAGGCTTTACACGCTACTTCCAGCTTTGTTTTATCATTGTATTTATATATTATGTATTGTCACATTTCAGTGCACAACTATTTTGCCAAATTCTAAAATAGATACATATGGTAAGCCTCACTATTTCCTCTAATATGCCATGGAAGCCACACATCTACAAAATAGCAAAGCTGCCTCCCAAAAGCTGGGGATGCTGTACAGTTGCTGTAGCTACTTCACTTCTGAGCAGTTACTTCAGGTTTATAAGGTATTCATTTGTCCTAACTTAGAGTGCTGCTCTCATATCTGGGATAGTGGTTCTTCTGTCCAACTGTTAGATAGAGTGGAATCAAAGGCATTTCACATTCCATCTTATTAACTCTCCTCCTTTAGTCAATAATCTCTTTTCCCTTTCTCTTTGCTGCAATGTTGCTTCACTATCTCTCTTTTTTCTGGTAATTTAACAGGCAATGTTCAGTGGATTAAACATCCTGTGTACCGCCAGCAAAACAGTAGGCTCGTAACACTCATCTTGCCCGCGGTGCCCACCATTTCTGTGTGGATGTTGGGCACACTAGAAAGAATAACCAGTTATAGTAGTTTCTTCTTTCCTCGCACTGCCAAACTGAGGAATGCTTTGCCTCTTTCTCTGTTTCCATCCTCTTACATTCTATCTCACTTCAAAAAGCTGGTTTTCTGGCATCTTTGTGGTGTAGATTAACATACAGGTATTCTTTTTCTCCTCTCTTTTTTTTTACACACCCCTTTGGCTCTGATGTGTGTAGATCACTTAGGCCCTGATGGGCTATTTCCCATAGAAAATTTTTATTTTTTATTTTTCCAGAAATTTTGTGAAGAACTCAACAGCAGCTTCAAAAACTCAACATTCACAGTAAGCTTAGAAGCCTCAAGTTGGATCGGAAATGAACAGAAGATCAATGGTTAGAAAAAGTGGTATAAAATTCTTATCATAATTGGTATGCTGTACATATTTCTGAAGTGGCATTTATGTATTTGAAGATATAAAATGTGTTATAGTAATCATGACTGTTTGTAAAAACTGTATAGAAATTTCAGTTTTGCTTACTTGTAAGAGCATGCAGTACGGTACAGTACGGTTATGAGGGTGATAAAGGTTTGGTTCAATATTTTTTTCAAAGTTCGGTACCGTATGAAAGTACAATTAATTTTTTGTACTTTTATCGTACCATTTCGATCCAAACCACTCCCTTGAAATGTTGGCCTGCCACTTGGCCAGGACAATAGCTTGGGGGGAATGTAGGTATGCTCCAGCCTTCAGGTCAGGTCAGGTGAAGCCGTGATGTTAGGTCAGGTCAGATCCGGCCACACTCAGTGAGCCAGTGAGACCAACAAAATTACATTACCCCAGGGAGGGGGTGCCCCTACCAGGCTTTAACAACACACACACACACGGGCTGCCAGTGATACAAGCTAGTGTCGAACGAACCTTCATTGCGTTGCGTTCCAACACATAATATGTAGTTTTTGTGGGCTAGGGACAGAAAATTTTAAGTAAAATATGTAATTTAGTTAATATGTTAGAAAATTAAATATTATCTTAGGAATAAAATACTAAAGTTAATAATATAATTATTCTAGTTTTGTTACACCTTAAATAGGGCTACATTTTGTGTGTGGGGTACAAAATTACGGTACGATATTTTTTCTTTGGTACGAATTTCGATAAATCAATCGTACCGTACCGAACTGCATGCTCTGTTTCTAGGTTGTACAGATTCTCTCATAGGTCACACACTTGGGAAAAATTAGTGTTCCTCTCTCTTTATTTTCTTAGCTTTACATACATGAATAATAAACAGACTCTCCTTTGGTTTTAATTTCTCTGCCATCTTTGTTGTTTTGTTATGGTGCACTACTTGAGACACCTTGTATTTTAGGTTAACATGGATAATCTGACTTCCCATTTTGATTTATTATCAGGTCATCAAACTGCTGGGAACAGTATTTTCTCACTTTTCATGTTTCCCAAGTTTTACCTGTGTGTTCAACAGAATCATGTTCCAACAAGGTGCCAGGGGTCAGTCTTAGGGAAGTTAAATCATATCCTACATAGAGTATGTCTGATAAGTACTACAGGATTGTCAAAGGTTGAAATGAAATTCTTGTATGAAGTAAAAGGTAGAAGAGTGTAAAATTATTTTTTTCTTATGGCCAAAAGGTTTTGAGTAAAATATATTTTGGCAGCTACCACACTGGGTATATCTGGCCCGAGGTAAGTCTAGTCACTTGCTGGTATATATAAAAATGTTAATTCTTATTTACTGTAGATTTGTTATAAAAAGTTCTTGATTATTTTGTTTTTGGTACAATTAACTATACATAATGCAGCCACTTTGTCTGGCTTGTTATGTACTGTTTGTATCAATATGAAGTACCAAGGTTCTTCTCTGCTAATACTCCACCAGCACAAATGTTTGTCAGATTGTATAAGAAAGGTTACACCAAAACTGTGCCTCAATTTTTTTTTAAGTTTTAACTATTTTATGGAAATTACCAACAATTGCAGTAACCAAAAAGGAACTTGAGTTGTTCTAAAAGTTTTCCTGTATAATACTGGAAATCCAACCCATTGCTTAATTAGTTCAGAGACCTTTACAATTTATTTACAATAAAGGAATATTTCATGGCTTTAGGTGAAGTACAGTATTATGAAAAATTTGAATTTCTATCCCTTAAAGTTTGGGTTGTGTACAGTACTGTACTAATTTAATTGCCATAAAATAGCTAAAAATAGTTTTTATTATGAAATTTAATTCTCTACTTTTTAATTGCAGTTGTTCTTGTCTTGTTGCTATGATGTGTGTGCAGTCCCCTTTACTATTGCATTTACAGGGGCTCGTCATATAAATATTCCACAAATCATTACATTCCAACATTTCTTTTTATATGGCTCTACTTTGGTTCCATCATATGTTTACTATTGCAGGTTCCTTCTGTCAATTGTACACAAACACAGGGCTGCTACACTGCACAAAACCTGACGAGCTCCTGTAAACACACTAGTGAAGGGGACTATACATGCTGATGCTTCTGTATATACATTATAATTGACTCAATTTAATCAATAGATGTTTAAAGTGTCATAGACACTAGCTTTTATCATAATGGGGATTATTGACAATACTGTACTGTACAGGCCTGTCAATAGTGTCTAATATTTAGTGTCTTTCAAAGCAAAGTGCAGGTAATTATGTAAAATATACAAGCACCCAAGAGCATTTATAATTTGCCATATAAATCAACACAGTAGAGACCCTCTATGCACTGGACTTCAGTACACTGGAATTTGTGTTTTACAAACTCCTAGGTACTCCAGACCACCTCTCTGTTCAGTGGAAATATTTAAAACAGTTTTGAAAATCCAGCATCTGTCCTGACAGATTGCAAGTTGTTACAGAGCATGCAATTGAATATTTGTGCACATGAGTCACAAATGGCACATTCCTCAATCCGAGTCCTGCCTGCATAAGTATCATATCGGTACATATTGTATTTTCTTTAACGGGGATACTTGAGAGTTTTAAGAAATGGGTAGAATTAAGACAAATTCTTAAGGCACAGACAACATTAGGTCAATGAATACTGTACAGTGGTCTAATCAGATTTGTTGTAAGTCTAACAAGAGCTACTAAGACAAGAGATAAGACATTGCATATTTAAACAGGTTGGGGGGGGCAGGTATTGCTGCATTCACCAAGTTTATTTATGGATTCAATATTATAATCCCATATGATAAGCCTCTAATGGTATATGATTTACAGATTTGTAAAGTAACAAAGTAAATTTACTTGAGTACTTTACTCGAATAACATCTTGGGGTATTTTTTAAAAAGTACAGTACTCAAATTTTTCAGTACTTTTACTTTTACTTAAGGTTTTCTAATACTTTTACTGCAATACAATTGAAAAATAAAAAAATCATTACTCATTACATGCCCCAAACAATAGTTTTAAATATCTAATCACAGGACAAAGGACAAACTTGTAAGCTAACCAATCACAAGCATTTTTCATGTCTGCTGCATGTGAGCATCTGCTTAGTCAAGCTGGGCTTATATTTAGGCCTAAAAGATCCTAATTGTGGACAGCCATAATTTTGAGAATTGGCTATTTATTAATCTCGGTAGAAAGATTTGCAAATAAACATGTGTAATGCTGTGTGTCTTTTATTTTATCTTTAGTTATTTATTTTTTTATTTACTGTGTATTTATTTTAATATTTGAGATGATTAATAATTTTTTTGTTACTTTTTAATTTTAGTACTTGAGTACTTTAGGAATGAGATACCTTTTTACTTATACTGGAGTGCATTGAACTTTGGATACTTTTACTTCTACTTGAGTAATATTTTGCCAATGTAACAATACTTTTACTCAAGTAACAATATCCGGTACTTTTTACAACTCTGATGATTTATCATAAATAATTTAACATCTTCAGTAACAGAAAAAATACAATATACTCTTTATAATTTGTAACTTGGCTTGAATTATTAAAGGATGAGTTGTATCAGAAGGTAGGGTACAGTACTGTATTCCATGACCCCTCACCTGTGAATGCCAGCTATCAGCCTGATTTTATTATAATATTCTTGTATGATCAGCCTCTTATGGTATATAATTTATCATACATAATACAGAATCTTCAATAATAGAAAAAATACAATAATTTATAATTTGACCTGAGAAGAAAAGGATATGCCTCTCTCCTTCCTCCCTAACATGATGTATTAAGCTAATGCAAATTTACTGTACTATTGGCCTAAGAAGAGACGTCCCTGTTTTCGGTATGATTTGTCCAAACAGCAGTATCTGTCAAGTACATTTTAAGGATGGTGTGTACACTGTGTGGGGTGGGACTGCTGGAACCAAGCAAGTGCCGAGTGACCAGCCGGCTGGATAACATTGTAGATTGATGTTTTATTAAAATAACTCTTGAGCAGAACATCTTGCTGCCTAACCTTTTATCGAGAATTCCCTTATAGTTTTGCAGGTTAAAGGGGTAATGAAAATAAAAGAGCTATATCCCAATCCCATGCACGAAAGACGAAGAAGTTGCTTGCATAAAAAAAGACAGCCAGTCCGAGACGATACAGCAACACAGGCTAATAACAACTCTAGGTGTAGAATATTCTGCACATGGCTCTTTTCCTTGCTTGAAATTTGTTTTACTTCTAGAACAATATGAATGCTTTTGTTGTGCAAAAATAATTATTAATTGAATAAGCATTCAAAGAAGTTAGCAGTTTAGCCAAGTTTTATTTTTTCCTAAGTACCGTAACAAATTGCTGTTGAATGGAAATCTCTAATGTTTTAAATTTTGTTCCTGGTTGCTAAAGAATACAATACTTTCCGAGCATAAATGGCCATTCATTTTCTTATAAATATTAGGTGGTATACAATACAGTAACTAATTTTTTATTTAAGCTTATAGCCTCTAAAGCTCAAAGCTTTGTTTTATGAATGGTTTCCCACCTCATGTATTGTTTATATATATTCGGTAAAGACATTGCATAAACATGGTGTTAGGGTGCCAACCCGGGGATAAGTAAAGGCTGCGTCCATAGTCCATTTATTGGCGAAGATGATGGGGGGAGCAGACATGTCCTCACAGCTAAACATCTGAGTCGGAACTGGGCTCCGCATCCGTTGGGACCGATATAGTGTTGCCAAACTGGCACACGCCCTCTATTGTGAAGAACCCGTCCAAAACCCAGCAAAATGATACACGAGTGAAAAAGTTGCAAACTGAATTAATACAAAATGAGTGAAGGTTCTTATCAATGTGCAACTGATACATACTAGAAATAGATCCATTGGCAAAATGCTAACACGTAAGTGATATATGGGGGCAGTCCTCGTCTAAGAGACATGTTCCTGAAGGTGCCTGGGAGCACGTGTTGTCCACACGGGCCTCTCAGCGGGTGACTAGAGTGTTGTTGTGACATCAGGGGTGGCTTCGGGGGCGCCGGTGGGCGTTGAGGGGTGAAGATGGTGGCGATTCCTGACAGTCGTTCGTCCAGGCGGATCAGGTACTGTCTGGGGGCCGGTGACTCCACCACCACCCCCAACCGGTCCCAGTGCCCTGACTCCTGGTTCTGGACTCATACCCGCTGCAAGAGGCAGGAGATTGTGAGCAGTCGGGTTGAACCTTTGTGACATGTTCTCACTGGTGCATCCCATCATACATTCCCTGTTCCTCAGCAATCTTCCCCAGTGCCAACTGACATTATAGTGCAGCAGGCACCGAGTCCCTCAGCTGTCGCCCCATCAAGAACTGTGCCGGGGATGCATTGGAGTCTTGCAGTGGTGTGTTCAGGTACTGCATCAGGGCCCTCGAGGCCTTGTCCATGTCTAAGGAGCCCCCTGGACCTGTGTTGCCCCTCAGTGGGGAAGGGTTTGAGAAATTGCAGCTGGAAGACAAAGACTTTTTTTTTTACTTTTTTACTTTTACGTTTATTTTCTTCACCACTGATTGGCTCGTTAACCGCTTGGGTGATCGGTCACTTCTCTGTTACGCACTGTTGGCAAGTACTAGGCATGCACCGGCTCCAGTGTTGGTCAAGTTTTGTCTTGAAAGAGCTCACACTCGGTGCCGTCACAACATTTTCTGGTAGATTGTTCCAAGAGTAAACAACTCTCACTCCGAAAAAGTTTGCCCTCACAGTTTTATGGACTTGCGGCTTCTTCAATTTTGAGCTGTGACCCCTAGCATATCTCGGGGACCAGACAGGTTGACAGTACTCCAGATGGGGAAGCACTTCACTCTTGAAGATCGTTATGAGAGACAGACCGTTTAGATATCTGAACGACCTTCTTATAAGACTCAATAATTTATTTGCTTGATTTACCTTTTTCTCGCAATGGCCTAAGAACTTCAGCTCATTGTCAATATACACACCTAGGTCCTTCTCACATTCAGTCTCAAATAGTGGTTTCTTCATCCCGTTGGGACATAAGATACTCCTCCTTACCCTTGGTACGCCCCAGGTGCATCCTCTTACACTTCATGACATTGAATCTCAGCAGCCATTTCTTGGACCATTCTTGGAGCCCACAGAGGTCCTTCTGCAGCTCTTCACAGGCCACATGGTTCTTGATTTCCCAAAATAACTTGGCCTCAACGGCAAGAGTTTGTATGGAGGAGTGTACAACGTCAGGCATATAATTTATGAAACAAACAAACAACAGCGGGCCCAATACACTGCTAACGAGCCGATCAGTGGTTAACAGGATAAAAGATTAGGAATTAATGTAAAGAGAGCAGGGAGAAGAGGAGGGGACCTAGATGGGGAATAGCTGAGGTGATCAGAGGAGCTGGGGAATATAAACAAAATTAATATAGTGCTAATAGAACACGGTAAAGAACGAAGTAGTTTGGGTAGTTTAACAACTTATTGGCAAGATTTAAAGAACAAAATACCTTACGAGTGTAGTAAGTGACTGGTGGCCATCTGATAAACTGGGATTATTTATAAGTATTCTCTAACTACCATTATTTTATTATCATTTTCCTCTAGATTTTAACAATTTCATTTTTCTTTCCTTTTCTCTTTATGGTTCATTTTTCTATACCTAGCAATACTGTAAATGGGATCAAGAGGATAAAATTAAAGGGTCCCTGAGTGTTCCGTTCTCTGTCATCTGTAGCTCAAGAATCAATGGTGTACAAACAGAGTGGAAGGCAGGCTCATGTAGACACCTATTATGACGTCTGGACTCATCTAAACTCAACATACAGGTAGAAAAGAAAGATATAAAGGTTAGTGTAAAGCTATGTATTAGTCAGGATAGTGATATAATCAGTTTCAAGGGAATATGTGTAATGTATCTTAGGAGTGAGCCAGGTTTCAGTTCGACTTCCAAGTGGACATTATGGTATTGTTTTAGTATAGGAATCTTAAGAATTTAATCACCATCAGATAAGGGGAGTCTGCACACCCCAGTTAGGTTAGAATAATTATAGTTCCTGGGTTCTGTGGCTTGGTTAGGTTGAGTTGGTTAATTTAGGTTAAGTTGGATATCTGGTAATTATTAATGACTAACCCACTGTGGACACTGTTGTACTAGTTTGTTAAATGTGTTAAAAACCAGACCTAACCAACCTATCCAAGCAAACCCTCCTAACCTTACCTGACTCCCTTACTGGGGGACTCCGCCCCCGGACTCCCAGGTATATTAAACAGAAAGACCTTACTATTATATGGTGTAATTTGAGGCTTTTTCTGGACGTGAGATCATCTAGCTGCATTGGCTCTTACGCAGCCCAGGCGGTATATTGGTTTATTGTGATGGCGGGAAATGTCAAGGCATGGCGTTGATGAAGTGATGAACAAATTTCTTTCCGGTCTGAAAGCACAGGGATTCCCGCAGTGTGGACAATATCTATTTAAAGGAACACTGCCGTGGTCTCTGAACAATTGAAGGGTCTCGTTGTCTTTATCCATAAATTCATAAATTACATCCATAAGACAGACGACAACCTTCACACGTTATGCCGAAAATAAAACTGCCGCGAGCCCGGGTAAAAGCGCCGCAGCAGAGTGCGGCCCCATTACCGCCAGGAAGACAAATAAGTGCACACCTAGGCGCCTAATTACCTACAAAACGAAACATTTTCACAAGAAATAATTACCTTATCAGAATTCATTGATGAAAATAAACAGTAATACGAATAACTCTTCCGCGGGTTAGTTCTATATATTAACCGGATATCTAAATACAGGGTTAATATTTAGTAGTTGCCAACACCCAACTGAATATTGAGCCATATAGGGAGGAAAAGACAAAACAATTAAGAATAATTTATTCTATAATGTTTCCACTGGAAATTTATAATATTTGAGTTATTTTAACTTTTATTGTATAATATTCGGCCAGTCAGGGTGAGTGTTGAAATGACATCATAGTTGTGCGAGCTACTCAGCATGAGTGCCGATGTGACGTAATACTCGTGCGCCAATCAGTGCAAGTCTCAATTCTTGGGCAGTTGGAATACAGCTGCTCCTCGACTTACGACGGTGTTAGGGACCCAAATCCAGGTCGTAAGTCAAAATGGCCGTAAGTCTAAAATGCTTACCGATAAATAATACGTAGAAAATCGAAAATGGGTGTCTCTTTTTCTTCTCAGCACCACAAAACTCTCACTGTTAAGCTTGCCAGCCATTATAAAGTAAATTACAAACGAAAATTTTGTCAGTACACAGCGCAATCACTAACATTAGGACTCGAAAATACGTAATTTGACAAAATTTTGGTACGACTGAGGCGGTCGTATGTCCGGGTTGTCGTAGGTCGAGTATGTCGTAAGTCGAGGAGTAGCTGTATGTCGTCTGTGTGAGAAGGGTGTGCATTGGCTGACTGGCTTCTTATTCACTATGTTTTGGACAATGAAGCAGCAGCCATTGTCATTTCTAGGGCTCACTGTGATTTTGTTTCATCTGTAAAGTGTCCAAGATGTAATTCAGTGTCAATACTGTGTAGATCACCATGCATGATACTGTGGTAAGAGACAGCCACTTCACATCACTCTATCCTCTTATATCTCTTACTTAAGCTAAGTTTCTTATGCACTAGGGGTCAGGTTAGGTAGGTTGGGTTATGTTAGATTTTTTCAGGTTTTTGCATATTTTAACCTTCCACTTTTTTTTCAATATCTCAACAACGGTTAATTTCTGATGGCAATGAAGGTCATATTTGTATTTAACATGATGATTTACACGATAAAAACCCATTATCAAAAGTCAGAGGTGTTGGGAATGACTAAATATTTACCAAATAAAGGAATGACCGAAACTAAAATTTTACATCATTTTCTTTAAACACTGTTGCCTAAAACCAAAGTACAGTTCAAGGGTTCCCTGGGTTACGAACGGGTTCCATTCCTGAGAACATTCTTAAGTCAGATTTGTACATAAGTCAGAACACATGCTCTGTGGATACCATACTTACAGAAAAAAAAATTTAAAATCCCATTATATCATAGCCTAAGTCCTTATATACATCTAAAATCATTTACTTGTAATTTAAGACAAAAGAAGAAATAGAATAAAAAAAATACAGTTATCAAGAAAAAAATCGGAGCTTGTGATGAAGTTTTCGTCTGGTATGAAATGCTGCATTGGCATAAAAGATACAGCAGTACTTGTTAATTGAGATTCAGTCGCTGATACTGAATACTGATGACCGCTGTCTTTTACTTTTTATCCTTCGCCACTGATCGCTTGTTAGCCGCTTGGGGCGATCGGTCACGACTCTTTTCCTTTATATTCTTCACCAAAAGGTCGGCTCGCTAGCCGCCCGGGCGATCGTCACGTCTGTCACGCACTGTTGGCAAATACTGGGCATGCACCGGCTCCTGAATGTACCTGAACCCGCTCCAGTGTTGGTCAAGTCTTCTCTTGAAAGAGCTCACTCGGTGCCGTCACAACACTTTCTGGTAGATTGTTCCAAGAGTTTACAACCCTCACTCCGAAAAAGTTTGCCCTCACGGTTTTCCGGACTTGCGGCTTCTTCAATCTTGAGCTGTGACCCCTTGTGGGGCGAGCGTCCGCCAGCTCCAAGTAAGGACACTCAACTGAGTAGTGCCCCCTGAGATGCTTATAAACCTCAACTAGGTCCCCCCTTGCCCGTCTGTAGTATAAGCTAGGCAAGTTCAGGCGCTCCAATCTCGCAGGGTAGCTGAGATGCCGAAGTGCAGGCACCAGCTTGGTGGCCCTCCTTTGAACATTTTCAACCAACTGACAGTCCCTAGCATATCTCGGGGACCAGATGGGGTGACAGTACTCCAGATGGGGAAGCACTTCACTCCTGAAGATCGTCACGAGGGACGGACCGTCTAGATATCTGAACGACCTTCTTATAAGACCCAATAATTTATTTGCCTGATTTACCTTCTTCTCACAATGGCCCGAGAACTTCAGCTCATTGTCAACATACACACCTAGGTCCTTCTCACACACAGTCTCAACTAGTACATTTTCTTCATCCCGTTGGGACATATGGTACGCCTCCTTACCGTTGGTACGCCCCAGGTGCATCCTCTTACACTTCGTGACATTGAATCTCAGCAGCCATTCCTTCGACCATTCCTGGAGCCCACAGAGGTCCTTCTGCAGCTCTTCACAGTCCGCTTGGTTCTTAATTTCCCGAAATAACTTGGCGTCATCGGCAAACATTTGTATGGAGGAGTGTACAACGTCAGGCATATCATTTATGAAACAAACAAACAACAGCGGGCCCAATACACTACCCTGCGGTACCCACTTGTTACAGGTACAGATGACGATTTCGTGCCATTAATCACCACACATTGCTTGCGGTCATGTAGAAAGTCTTCTATCCACGCTAGGACATTTCCCCGAATTCCGTACCCTTCCAGTTTGATTTTCAGCCTTTCGTGGGGTACACTGTCGAAAGCCTTGGCAAAATCTAGGTAAATATTGTCGATATTACCACCCCGTTCTAGAATATGGGTCCAAATATCCAATACCTTGAGCAATTGTGTCAAGCAAGAGCGCCCCGGCATAAAACCGTGTTGGCAATCTTTTACAAGGTTGTTTCGTAGTAGATGTTCCATCGCTGCATCTCTGATAATACTCTCAAGTACTTTACATATTATGCTGGTCAGGCTCACCGGTCTATAGTTGTTCGTGGAGTGCCTATCGCCCTTCTTGAAGATAGGACTCACATAAGCCACTTTCCATTCACTGGGGACCATTTGTTCATCCAGGCATTTACAAAACAGAATCTTCAGGGGCTCTGCAAGCTCGTTGCACAGCTCCCTTAGCACTCTAGGATGCACCATGTCAGGTCCAGGACTCTTATGGACCTTTAGCCTGGACAGTTTATTTCTAATACCCTCTTCTGTGAACACAATGTGGGTCAGTGCTGTGTCGAACCGTCTGTCCTCAAACGCAGGAAGGTTAGTTGCATCCTCTCTTGTGAACACTGAGGAAAAGAAGCTGTTCAATGCCTCAGCTTTATCCTGGTCAGAATCTGCGTAACTACCATCTTCAAGCCTCAGGTCTGATACTCCTACTCGCGTTTTCAATTTCGACTTTGCATAGCGGTAAAACGCCTTTGGGTTTGACTTGACCTCGCGTGCAACCAGCCTTTGGAACTCCTTTTCAGCCCTCCTACACTCTATCTTTGCTTGGTTTCTGGCTCTTGCATACATCCTCCTGTCTTGCTCATCGTTTGACCCAACCCACGTCTTGAATTTCTGGGTTTTCTTCTTAATTTTGTCGACCGCCGCATGGTTCATGTGTAGGGATCCCCTCGTATTCCTAGAAGCACTGGGTTTGGTCTTGGGTATATATTTATCGATCAAATGGGTCATTTTACTAGTTATGATATTCAGCGTAGTGTCTGCGTTCTTGTACCTTAATAAGTCAGGCCAGTTGATACCCCTCATCTCTTCCCTCATCCCATTGTAATTTCCCTTGTAATATTTGCACCTTGGCCTGGCCTTATCTTGAACTAGGTAACAGTTAAATCTGAATGACAACACTGTATGGTGACTGGTGCCAACTGGGGCAAGGTGTTCCAGTTTGGCCACCATACCCTCCTCGTTTGTTATGATGAGGTCAAGTGGCTTGGGTGTTTGTTCCCCTCTGTAATGTGTCGGGTCTCTCACATGTTGGAACAGAAAATTATCTCTCAGAGTTTCTACAAAAAGAGTAGCAGGATTATTCAAGTCATTCGGGGTTGACTCGTTTCTCCAGTCGATGTCGCCATAGTTAAAGTCCCCCATGATAAGGAGGTGGCTGGGGTTGAGCATCGCCGCATTGTTTATTAAGGTTCTTAAGTTCCTTTGATTTAGTGGGCCACAGTTCGGGGATCTGTAGATACACCCGACGATAAGTAAGTCCCCTCCCTTTAATTTAATTTTACACCACTTGGACTCTTCAAAAACATCCTCTCCCTGTACCCTCGCCTGGCTGGCTCTAAGGTCTTGCCTAGCGTAGATAACCACACCCCTCCTGCAGGATTCTTGAGTTAGGTTCGTAAATGAGTCATATCCAGCAATACTGAACTCACATTCCTCTGGGTCGATTCTCCTGTTCTTGTACAACAGTTCTACAACTCCTACAATATCTGGTTGGTGTACTCTTAGTAGTGTTTCAAACTCCTCCCTCTTATCAAGGAACGTGTCGGTATTAGTGTACATGACATTCAAGCCAGAATTTGTTCTCGGTAACGTCTCTGCTCTTAGTAATAAACCCGCTCCACCCACATTCTCAGAAGCTGCAGCATTTGCTAAGTACACTGTATTTTGCAGGGTGTGGTTAAAAATTTCATTGTTTACACGGCGCTCGTTCCCTCCTGTCCGGTAGGCTGAGCTGGTGCCGCCTCCCGGGTGGGGGGTTGAGTGGGTGGAGGGTGCACTGCTGCCCCCTGGCCCTGTGTCGGCACACTTGTTTCCACTACCCTCCCCCTGAGTATAACCCATGTGCACCTGTCCCCGTTCCTTCTCGACTCCTCCCTCCTCTGCTTCAAGTCCAGCAGGAGCTTCTTGTGCTGTTCCCTCTGCATTACCGTGCGGTCTGGGTGAATAAATACATCTCGAAATGCCTCGCTCCTTGCTAAGTTTTTTGCCTGCCGGATAACTTGCCATTTTTCCTCCTCACTCCCTAATGTGATCCTGAGGGGGCGAGGCTTAGCCCCCTGCTTTTGTCCCAGTCTCCTCACATCCTGAGGGGTTGCTGGAATCTTCAGAACCTCTGTGCAAATATTTATTTTCTTGGGCAAATGCTTAGTTTTCTAGATATAGGCAAGTTAAGATAACATTCTTACAGTCACGTCATCAGCTGTGATGTTTCCGTCAGCGGTTCAGTAATTTTTAAACTGTTTTTTATGCTGATTACTTTCAGTTCTATTCATTTTCTTGTGTAAATGCTTAGTTTTCTAGATACTGTTTTGGCGAGTTAAGATATGGGTTTGGTTTGGTTAGGTTAGTACATGATTTCAACCATTTTTTTATTTCTCCCAACGTAATACTGTATCCTCTAATAAAATCAGTGAAAACTGGGCATTTTTATACCTATTTTCAATGAAAACAGTGGATGGTCATGATCCAGATAATTACCCTAAATAAAAATAAAAAGGTATAGGTGGAGGAGATGGTTAGCACCAGAAAGAACTTATGGAATTGAACCAAATTTATGGAGATGCTGTTTGCAAGATACTGAACACGAAAATGGAAACGATAATGCACAGAACCTATTGGCACCTGACCTAACCTCACCTAACCTATTGGCACCTGACCTAACCTCACCTAACCTATGTAACTTCCTAACCTGTGCATTGTCATTTTGATTTTCAAACTATCCAAACAATATCTCTAAAAAAAATTGAATGAATTCAATCCAGTATAAATCATAATTAACATACCTAATGATATTGCCATTTGTTTCATGACATGCAAATAAAGGTCACAGACGCTCCCATATAGCAGACAATGTGAACCAAAACGTGGTCGCCACGTCATAATTATGGTAAATGATTTATTTCTTCGCCTACAAAGCACGTAGAGACGTGAAATTTCTGCCATATGATCAGTGTTCACAGTGTTTTTTACCCTGTAAATTCCCTCTTTCATGCCCTGCCCACTTACAAGTAATTTATGATCAAAGGAATGGCTAAATAAAAAAAAAAATACTGCTGTACAATGTTGTCATTTAAATTTTATTATTCAGTATCATCCAAAAAAAAAACTGTGGAAAATATGAACGAAATATGTAACTAAATGCATTCAGGTGCTAACCATCTGCTCCACCTTTACCAATGATTAATCACTCATCAGTGACTTGTTCACCATGCTTATTGGCTAGCTTTGGATACATCACTAGGCTCTGGCCCTTTGATCCTCTTGTCAACTGTGAAGGTGCAATTAATTCTTAAATTGAACAAGATAATGGTATCAAAATATCTGTATAAATGTGGAGAACCTGGTAGTCAGTGCCTCCTGATCATAATAAGTGGCAGTAAACAAGGTAAACTCTGCATCCCAACTTTGCTCAGAGAAATTGGGGTTCCTTTTTTTCTTCTTCTGTCTTGAGGGAGAATCAGTTCAGGGGATAAGGTCACCATCAGCTGTGGCTTGCTCAAGTTCTTGTTCCATTCTTGGCTTTGATTCCACATTGAAGAAAGTGATAAAGATTACACCATAAGACTTTGCTGGGAATTTTTCACATGTGTTTAGAAGAGGAAACATGCCTAGATTAATTATGGAGAGACTTCTGTTGACCAAATTGTGTCTATAGAAATTATATACTGTACTGTACTGTCTTTCTACTTAATGCCATTGCAACACCAGTGCATATGTTGGCTACCTTATTAGAAGAGCTCTCCAATATTTCCAGTGCCAGCAATGCTTTGTTCCATCATATAACCCCATCTTACCATTCTTCCTGGCTTAACCCCCTTCCACTATCACCCCTCAACCAGTATCTTTACAAGTGTCTGGTTATTCACACAGGCAGATGATGTAATGGGTAAGAATAGATAGAAAAACTATTATTGCTAATTTTTGTATCATACTTTGAGAAATTTACCTTTTGCCTGGGCCAGGCCTCTTGCAAAACTAATATCTTATCATAATTCTCCTGTACAGTAACTGTTTTGTCATTTTCTACAATATATAGTACATGAAAACTTTTGTTATTTGTAACAATTAAATGAATAAGGATTATTACCTTATACTTTACATACCTAATTCACCTAAGAGCCACCCCATCTAGAGGTGACCATGCTGAGCAAGGAGGCCAATGGTCTGTGTTGGATTCCCCAATTGTTCTATATTTCCTGTAACAATGAATATGTCTTTCAGGACAGAAGTTCATTCTACATAAGAAAAATGGATGTTAGCAACAAAGAAGGAGATCCAGGTCATCCCCCTCCAAACAGTCGTACACAACTGGACACTCTGCCCAAAGGACATGTAGAGGGTGAGGAAAGGCTGAGTGACTTTGGATCACCTAGACATGGGCCAACTCTCTCAACCAGCACCAGCAGTTTTGAAGCTCTTGACCCCCATGACCCTAATCTTAGCCACTTAGCATCATTAATGTTCTCACACACCTCTAATTATTTGCAGGTTTGTATTTATAGTTCACTAAAGCTACAGTGGTAGGCTTCCCTTTACCAGAATGAGTCATAAGACGCCTCTACCATTAACTTATTTATATCTTTTTGTACTCCTAACTTTTTTTTTATGGCTGACACCCTTCACTGTGACCCATGAATTATAGCCATGAGTCCTGGGCTGTAAACTTGAGCCTCACCCATAGATATCATAGGCTGGAATTATTATCTCTCTCAAGAAAACCCTTAAACAGGACCGTAGAAGCAATATAGTTGTGCAGGTATCTCCCGCTTTATGATGTCCCTATCTACGATATTCCGCTTTAACGATGGTGATGCATTAAGACCACCCTCCTATCCATGATGTAAACGGTTAGAATGAACCATGGTCATCGTCTGGCCAAAGAACTTTATAGACACAAAAAAAAGAAGCAAAAATCACTTCACAGACACCAAAATAGAATACAGTGTGAATGTTAGTGATGTCCTCCCACTATAAGATAAATAATACACCTATGATAAGTAACAACACTGATACTGACTGATAATCATTGCGGGCATGTGGCATCACCAGGAAACAAAGCTTGGTACTCTAGTGCACTGGGTGGCCACATGGCATTGGTCATGTTTGTTGTTGTCAACTTGAGTGCTGCCAGGGTCCCAGCTACCATTGTAAGATTAGCTGGGGTCCCGTCACCAGAGGCATCCAGGGGAGGATCAGCCGACATCTCTGGGGAGGAGACACCAGCCTGAGTTGACATCTGTTGGAGTGTCTGGGATTCAGGATTGGGTTCTGAAGTTGGCAAAGAGGTCTCGCTTCCTTCACACCAGTTAGATGATTCCACCGTAGAGACCTAGGCTGGAGGATCGTCCACCTCCAGAGACTCTGAGGATCCTTGGTAGCATTTATGAAATTTTTGTAGTACCAGGACAGCGGGTGAAGGAAAGATGAGGAGTAGCAGATGTACCCGCCTCATTGATATTGACCTCGGTCACTACAAGAGAAGTCTGAAGACTGAGGATTGGTGGCATAGTCGGGGCAATGTCGCAGCAACAGATTGCCGAGTCTTGTGTTAAGGTACAATCTGTGCATAGGAATTCCCATGACTTGAGACTGATTTCAGTGCTGTGCTTCTGGCTTCAGCAAAGCTCATCTTATTTCTTATGTGGATATTTAGTATCTCTTTCTCAAGTCGTAACCAGTTACATTCACTAGAAGAGCCCAATGCGCCTCTCTACAGTGTAAACAGCAGACCGGACTCAGACATTTCTGACCCTCTTGGGCCTTACCACAGTTAACACATACTGCAGGAACACCCTGCTCTAACTTATGACAAGTGCTGCTGACATGGCCATACATCTGACAATGTTACAGAGCACTAGATATTTTATTTTGCAAAATCTACCTGCTTGAACACACCTGATAAGATCTCACGGGTAGAAGCATCATAGTGGGTGCCAGGGACGGGTGCAGGGTTGTCAGGGAAGTATCTGGCTGGTTATTGGAGTTTGTTTCTTCCATACAAACCCTAAATTACTTGATTCCCTCACCCTCCACAGAGCCCAACACAGGAGTGCCAGGTCCCCTGATGCCCACTTGACCCAAGACACACTGTGACCAGTCTATTGACATGATCGGGCCCAACCAAGCCGTCCATCTAGCTGGAATAAGAACCAAAGAGATGTGTTGCTAACTGCAGGGTGCAGCATGGAGGATTGCTCAACCTCCAGGACTCCCATCTCCCATATGGGATGCCACACACTGCAAACACGTGGGAGAGCATTCCAGTCCCGGTGGTCTGGGTTGGGGATGGTGCTGTGGTCTGCTCTCAAAGCTAATAGCCATTTTATCTGGACCCTCTCCAATGCCTCACCCAGTTTAGGAAACCCTTCCCTGAGGGGCCAAGCCTCACTCTGGTACTGCTCACCAGATTATTGGTGGGACTCACCACAAGCCAGTCCCCCCCCTCCACCGCATCACAGTGGCTTCCACTGGGGGTCGAATAGTTTTTGAACTCTTAGAGAGGGATTAATTTAGGACAATGGGGATGGGCTGAACCGAGGCATTCTTCCAAGAAGGAAAAGTTTGGGTTTTGCGGCAAAGGCAAAAGAAGTGAACAAACACGGGCCAGAACTTCAACACACTCCTCAAAACACGAGGGGTTAGTCCGTCTGATCCATGAGCCTTATTCATGCCCAGATTGTATAACACACCAGCCACCCTATGATTGAATATTATAGAAAAGTGCAATGGTTCAGTCGCAGGAGTAGGAGTGGTAGATTTGTAATCGTTTAAGCTAAACTCATTTGGATGACATAACTTTCAAACCTTACTAACTATTGTTTCCAAAGGTTTTCAGAAACTTGCAAACTGTTTAAATACAGACTTGTCCATTTCATGAATTTTTATTTCATTTTCAACATGGTTTACTTTAATTGGACCACCCTGTACAATATGCAATATACTTATGTAACTTGTAACCTATAAAATCATCCTACAGTACTTAATAGTGCACTACTGGATGAAAGTGAGTGGCCTAGATCTGCATATGACAATGGACAGTGAGACACAGAGTGTGGTAACCTTGCAATGTCGCTTCCATCCGTCACCCGTGCATACAACAGCGGGAAATTTCAAAATGAATTATCTTTGAAATGCGGTTAAAGGACGTTTGATGTGGTTAAATAGTAATGTCAGTTTCACTTTATAAAGCACAGTAAAACCCTGGTTTGGATAAATGCTTAGTTGGTCTCATATACACAAGCTGTTAAGGATGGACACAGAATTATATAGCAAATGGAAGAATGATCCTGTAATACCAGCTGCAGGTGTTATGTTATTTAGAGTAATACTGTAGTGAAAATGGGTATCAGGAACAACTTTATTTCTTTTTCTTCTTCTTTTAAGGGTGAATTGTCTGCAGTCCTGGAGGATTATACACTACTGGAACAAATGAATAAGGCAACCATCACCAAGTATGCAGATATGCGTCAGATTGGAGGAAGTGTAAGCAGAGCACTTAAGGATCTGAATGAGAAATACTTAGCACTGCAGCCATACCTTGAGCAAATTGATCAGATTGAAGATAGTGTCACAAAATTAGAAGCAGCTGCATATAAACTTGATGCCTATTCTAAGAGATTAGAAACAAAATTCAAAAGTTTGGAGAAGAAGTAAGATAGATGATACAGGTGTGAATATGTGTCCTGTAAGTGGATAATTCTTGAGTTACCAGATATAAAGTTATTCAAAAGGACATTTCTGTATAGAGGTATGCTTCACTTACAGCCTTGTGGCCTGGTTTTGATAGATGGAGCCAAACAGGGTTGATAGGGTGTTATAGACTGTGATATGCACAGAGCTGTTCTTTATGTTAATGCCTTTAACTAAAGTTTTCTTTCTTGCCTGAAATGTTTCTTACCAGTGTATAGGGAAGACACTATAAAAAAGCTAATTCTACTGATACGTATTGATATGTTGGTGTGTTGGGTGAAGATGGTGTGAAGTTGTTTCTAAAGATTTTTTGCTAATCATGATCATGAATTACTTAATGTTCATTTTAGTAAACCTGTGAATTTAAACACCCAGTAATTCCACTTAGGCCAGCTACAAGTAATTAAGAAGAGTATTGTTGAAACCACCATTGACTGTATGTATGTGTGTATCCTCTTCAGCAGTTTTTAAAAGTTTACATGACAGAGGTATGCCTGTTACATATAAGTCACACTTTGGTAGGTATCCTAAATATTTCTCTGCAGTGATAAAATCATTTATTTATTGTAACAAATTATATTATCTTACATGTGTGTGCTTTAATGTATGTTCACAATCGTTATTGGTGTCTCAATGGGTCTTGGTAACATATTGCAATTGTTGGAGACTACCCGTTGCTCACCACCAGTGCAAATTGGAAACTTGAAATTTTATAAGTTAACTGTATCAGTCATACAGTACTGACTTCTTTGCCCTTTACATTAATTATATACCGATTCTGACGCAGAAAAGTTTATACCATAGTAACTCTAATGTTGCCAGTTTGTAATATTTGCTGGAATAAATTTATGATTTCATGTCGTAGGTTACATTGTATGATTTCATCTCTCTTACTGCAGTATAATCTAAATAAGCTAAAATTCGATTGGTTCATAATTGTAATATCAAATGTTGGAAAAACTATTCTGATAAAAGTTTACCCCAGGTGGCATTTTGATTATCTTTTTAGGAATCCTGGAAATAAAATATCTTGAATGAAAGTTAGACAGCTCAGGGACTGAGCTGTCGCCCTGAAAGTGAAGAGCCCTAGATTCTATTCCTTAGCCGGATTGATTGGTATGTAACCACTCCATTAATATAGACTCCAGTATTGTGTTGAAGATACTGTATTCCTTGAGTCAGGCACAAATTGGTCATTATATGCAATTTTATAGATTTTATTTAAACAGCCGTTAAAGAATAAGCTCAATACAGAAGGTCATTGGTGAAGAGGATAAAGAAAAGTCCTGTACTGTATAAGAAAATAAGAGTATGTTAAGAGTAAGTACTGTACAGTACTGTAAGGAAAAATATTCAATAAAATCATTGTACTGTATTGTATTATACAGTACATTTTTATACAGTATTTTATAGAATGATGGTGCATTAAACATGACATTTATGAGGGAGGGAAAAATAATATCTACAATATAGTAAAATCGTAGTACAAATTTACAATTGGTTTGGCTCAGGTAAACAACATATATATATATGTTGACAACCCTTTATCCGAAAACCGAAAAGCTCTAAAAACCGAAAGTTTTTTTTAGGGGGGGGGCTTTTTTTAAACTGACACTCCCAGGTACAACTCTGACACTCCCAGGTACACCTCTGATACTCCTAGGTACACCTCCGATACTCCCAGGTACACCTCCGATACTCCCAGGTACTGATACTCCCAGGTACACCTCCGATACTCCCAGGTACACCTCCAATACTCCCAAGTACACCTCCGATACTCCCAGGTACACCTCCGATACTCCCAGGTACACCTCCGACACTCCCAGGTACACTTCTGACACTCCCTGGTACACCCTGACACTCCTGGTACACCTCTGACACTCCCAGGTACACCGCTGACACTGCCAGGTACACCTCAGACACTACCAGGTACACCTCAAACACTCCCAGGTACACCTCTGACACTCCCAGGTACACCGCTGACACCCGAGGCACACCGCTGACACTCCCAGGTACACCTGTGGCTCTCCCAGGTACACCACTGACACTCCCAGGTACACCTGTGGTCTCCCAGGTACACCTCAGACACTCCCAGGTACACCTCAGACACTCCCAGGTACACCTCTGACACCCAGATACACGTCCGACACTCCTAGGTACACCTCCGACACTCCCAGGGTACACCCCTGACACTCACAGGTACACTCTGACACTCCCAGGTACACCTCTCTGACACTCCCAGGTACACCCCAGACACTCCCAGTTACACCTCTGACACTCCCAGGTACACCGCCATACCCAGGTACACCACTGACACTGCCAGGTACACCTCAGACACTGCCAGGTACACCTCTGACACCCCCAGGTACACCCCTGACACTCCCAGGTACACTGATACTCCCAGGCACTGACACTCCCTGGTACAAACCTGACACTCCCAGGTACATCCTCATACACTCCCAGGCACACCACTGACACTCCCAGGTACACCTCTAGCACTCCCAGGTACACCTCTAGCACTCCCAGGTACACCTCTGACACTACCAGGTACACCTCTGACACTACCAGGTACACCTCTGACACTACCAGGTACACTCTGACACTCCCAGGTACACCTCAGACACCCCAGGTACACCTCAGACACTCCCAGGTACACCCCTGACACTCCCAGGTACACCTCTGACACTCCCAGTTACACCCTGACACTCCAGGTACACCCCACACTCCCAGATACACCTCTGACACTACCAGGTACTCCTCTGAATTTCAGGTACACCTCAGACACTCGGGGACATTATTGTTGAGAGATATACATTCTTTGAACTAAATTGTTTAATACACTGTCACATTTTTATCATAATGAACCTAACCTAACCTAATCTAACCTAACTCACTTAATCGTAATGAATATCAATTTAGTAACTCTGAATTGATCAACTTCCAGGAATTGGTGATCTAACTCAATTGATCAGCTTCCAGGAATTGGTGATCTAACTCAATTGATCAGCTTCCAGGAACTGGTGATCTAACTCAATTGATCATCTTCCAGGAATTGGTGATCTAACTCAATTGATCAGCTTCCAGGAATTGGTGATCGTGGAATTGAAAATCATGTGAGATGAAAGCCTTGGAATCTGCGGTCGGATGCCTGCCCACCCTGACTGCCTGCCCATCCTGACTGTCCGCCCACCCACCTTCACCTCCACCACTACCTTGGCTGCTGGCCCACCCTCACCCACCACCATGCACCTTACCCTTCCACCCCTACCACAGCTCCTCCCACCCAACCCACCCACTAACCGCTGGGAAGCCACAGAAATGCTGCCACCCTCTTCACACCTGTAACACATATGCTGCCCACCCTCTTCACACCTGTACACATATGCTGCCCACCCTTTCACACCTGTAATATATGCTGCCACCCCTTCACACCTGTAACACATATGCTGCCACTCTTCATTAACCTGTAACATATGCTGCCACCCTCTCACACCTGTAACACGTAAGAGAGGTGTGTAGTTAGAAGGTTTAATCTTCAGGTGAAATAAAATAGGACTAACCTTCATATAATTCATTAATACTAAAAAAAAAAAACACGAAACTAAACCAGAATATTAAAGAATAATAGTAAATAAATATAACAGTAAAACGTGTATTATCGTAATTGTCTTTAGCGCTGCAAACGATCATTAACGAGGTGGTTGGAGTAGTTTTTACAGGCAGGTAGAGTGAGTGTCAAAGTCCAGTACCCCAGGTCTGTGGGGTGACAGGAGTGTGTGTGGTGACCTGTCCAAGTGATTCTATAGTGACGTAGTGACGTTGTGTGGTGACCTGTCCAAGTGATTCTAGTGACGTTGTGGTTACCTGTCCAGAAGTGATCCTATAGTGCCGTTGTGTTGACCTGTCCGTGGTTTATGTGACTGCATATATGGTGACCTACCTAAGTGGAGACAACGGCGAGGAGTGTCTGTCTGGCTTAATATGTGGTCCCCCAAGGCGTGTTACCAGAGAGAGGAGAAAAGCCGCAAGAGATTGACCACCAACAACTTAAACATTGGCCCCATCTTACGACCAGGTGCGTGTGTGTATATGTGTGTGCGTGTGTGTGTATGTGTATGTGTGTGGTAATCTTGTGAGAGAGGAACTACTTATTTATATTGAAATTAAATCGGAAGGATTAATGCATTCTGAAAACCGATTAAATGTTAGTAAAATTTGTGATTTGGAAACTGAGATGGATGTTAATGTTGACCCCGGGTAAGAACATTGTTACTTAATTGTATATGGTCAAGGTGTTCACTGCGTGTTCATGTTCTTTGTGTTCTTCAGTATATATATATCAGGGGGCCATGCAGGGGAGGGGAACAAGGACACAGGTGGTGGTGTTGGATCGACAACACGTTCATCATGGTGTCTTGTGATGATTAATTTGTTAGTGAAGTATCAAAGAAGTTTATGCTTTTTTATTTACACGTTTTTTATCAAGTTTATACTTTTTTATTTACGTTTTTTATCAGGAAGTTTATACATTTTTTGTTGCGTTTCAAGAAGTTTATGCTTTTGTAATTTTTACTACACATGGGACCGCCTGATTGGTGTAGTACTGCCCTTCCTCACTACACCATGACCTACAGTATGCTCATTACAGCTAATACGCGTTGTTTATCACTGAACTGTTGAATCTTAAGTAACGAACCTATAATGCTGGTAGGTTTGGTACATTGTAGTGGGCCGTCTCCCCTACAAACTTCTTGTGCTGCCACCACCTGCTACCGCTTCTAGCAACCAACCAGATGTTACCGTATCTTAGCAACAGAACTAGTCACGGCGACTTTCTGGGTTTTTCCCAACATGACTGGCAGCTGCTTAACGTTATATAAGCTCTGTCTCTCCATTGAGATTCATTCAGCCATTCTTCCTGAACAAGCAACACCTCCTCCTCCACCGCTGCCTGGCTGCCCGCTTCTCTCGCCTGCCTGGCGGTCCTCGCTCCCCTCCAGCCCAGCAGGCATGGCGACCCTGGCTGTCCTTCTCAAAACCCTCGCAAGCCCAGCACTCTCATTCTGCATCTTCCTGAACAGCAATACCTCCTCAGCAAGCCCGCTGTCTATCGCCATAACATATATTATACCAAAAACCACATTAGAATTCCTTCATCCTGGTGCTAGACAACATTAATATCTCGATGCCCCTACAACATAACCGGCTAAACCATAAAGAACATAAGAACATAGAATGGAAAAGCACTTTGCAAGCGAACTGTTGGCCCATACTGAATGATCCCATTTACCTCAACTAATGCTCATATAAGCATCCAACCTATGTTTGAAGCTATCCAGCGTGTTCGAGTTAATGATGATATTTGGTAACTTGTTCCATTCATCCACTACTCTGTTACCAAACCAGTGTTTACCTATTTCGCGCCTAAATCTAGAATTTGTCTAATTTAAGAGCTGGTATTCTGAGGATTTAAGCTCTGGTTGGATAGTTTAGTAACTTGCAATGTCGCCCTTTGTTTAGCCCTGCCTTCCATTTACACTCTGTCAGAATTCAAACTAATTACCAAATGTTAAATGTACCCAAATATAGCCGGAATGAAGTCAAATAATGATCTAGATGAATAAATCGGACTGCTAATCTTCTCGACTAGTATTTGGTGTCAGAAAGAAATCACAAAAAATTGAAGTAAACTTAATTTAATCTAGTTAATAAATCCAAAGTGCATGTACCCTAGCCTAACCCAACTCAGGTGAGCAAGTTTTACCCCGAAACGCAAATAATAATCGAAAAGTGATTCGCCAATTACATATCACGACCATCATTTTGGCTTCATTGCATTTATTAGATGATACTCTCGCTCCTCGGTACATGCACGCGATCTATTAACTCAGATTAAATGGAGTTTTCTCCAATTTTGTGACTTTCTGACACCAAATACTAGTCGAGAAGTGATTAGCAGTCCGATTTATTCATGTAGGACCATTATTTGACTTCATTGCGGTGTAGAATCAGCCACTGTCCGCCCATATTGAGTTTTGCAGAAGTTTGTACAGTAAATATTCCTCGTTATTGGTCGACTTATCGCACCACTGATGTAAGAAATTACCTAAAATTATAATTATGTTTATTATTGGTCTTAGGAACCTTAATGAATCTGTACCTAGAGTTATATGGAAGTAATTCTTTTTCTCCCTCTAATGTTTTATTTTGGTACAATATTACTAAATGATAAGTTCCTGAAAACATTAACTTTAAATATTTAGCCATTAAGTAACTGCATTGTTCTCGTAAGGTCAGCCAAGTACATTATCTACATATCAAGGAGGTGTATTGAGACAGCGTTAGTCGACCAGGAAGCCACACTCGCTCGTTCGGTGTTGTCCAAGTAGGGCTAACAAACTGGTGGTGTTAGTGTGTCATTGAGCTCTGTATTTATGTTATAAAGCCAATAGCCCGTTCACTGTAGTGCTGATTATTCTACAAAAAAATGTAGCCTAAAGCATTCGTTCAGAATTGATGTAAATAACTACAGTAAGTATTTACGCCTGTGTGTAGTGAGTGAATGACAACAACTTGTGGGGCGGTGTGCACCTACTGTGTTCCCGAGGCTGTTTGATAAGCAAGACATTATCATTGATGACACATTGTGTGCACTGATAAACGTGCACAAGAGGTGAGTGGCGCATTTATCACTAAAAAACGAACATAAAAGGAGGTTAGTGTGGACCTGTAGTAGCGAGACAGTGCTCTGGGAGAAGTGGGGACCTGTAGTAGCGAGACAGTGCTCTGGGGAGGTTAGTGGAGACCTGTAGTAGGAGACAGTGCTCTGGGGAGGTTAGTGGGGACCTGTAGTAGCGAGACAGTGCTCTGGGAGGTTAGTGGACCTGTAGTAGCGAGACAGTGCTCTGGGGAGGTTAGTGGGACCTGTAGTAGCGAGACAGTGCTCTGGGGAGGTTAGTGGGGGACCTGTAGAGCAGACAGTGCTCTGGGGAGGTTAGTGTGGACCTGTAGTGAGACAGTGCTCTGGAGGTTAGGACCTGTAGTAGCGGAGACAGTGCTCTGGGGAGGTTAGTGTGGACCTGTGGGACAGTGCTCTGGGGAGGTAGGTGACCTGTAGTAGCGAGACAGTACTCTGGGGATAGTGTGGACCTGTAGTAGCGAGACAGTGCTCTGGGGGAGGTAGTGGACCTGTAGTGAGACAGTGCTCTTGGGAGGTTAGTGGAGACCTGTAGTAGGGAGACAGTGCTCTGGGGAGGTTAGTGTGGACCTGTAGTAGGAGACAGTGCTCTGAGGTTAGTGGAGACCTGTAGTAGGGAGACAGTGCTCTGGGGAGGTTAGCGTGGACCTGTAGTAGCGAGACAGTGCTCTGGGAGGTTAGTGGAGACCTGTAGTAGGGAGACAGTGCTCTGGGGGGGTTAGTGGGGACCTGTAGTGGGAGACAGTACTCTGGGGAGGTTAGTGGGACCTGTAGTAGCGAGACTGCTCTGGGGAGGTTAGTGGGGATCTGTAGTAGAGGACAAATGCTCTGGGGAGGTTAGTGGAACCTTGTAGTAGGGAGACAGTGCTCTGGGGGAGGTTAGTGGGGACCTGTAGTAGCGAGACAGTTCTGGGGGGAGTTAGTGTGGACCAGTAGCGAGACAGTTGGGGAGGTTAGTGGGGACCTGTAGTAGGGAGACAGTGCCTTGGGGAGGTAGTGGGGACCTGTAGTAGGAGACAGTGCTCTGGGAGGTTAGTGGGGACCTGTGAGTTGGGAGACAGTGCTCTGGGGGAGGTTAGTGGACACTGTAGTGAGACAGTGCTTGGGGGAGGTTAGTGGGGACCTAGTAGCGAGACAGTGCTCTGGGGAGGTTAGTGGGGACCTGGAAGTGAGACAGTGCTCTGGGGGGGTTAGGGGGACCTGTAGGGAGACAGTGCTCTGGGGAGGTAGGGGACCTGTAGTATGAGACAGTGCTCTGGAGGTTAGTGGGGACCTGTAGTAGGAGACAGTGCTCTGGGGGAGCTGAGTTTGGGAGGTTAGTGGGGACCTGTAGTAGCGAGACAGTGCTCTGGGAGGTTAGTGGAGACCTGTAGTAGCGAGACAGTGCTCTGGGGGTTAGTGGGGACCTGTAGTAGCGAGACAGTGCTCTGGGGAGGTTAGTGGAGACCTGTAGTAGGGAGACAGTGCTCTGGGAGGTTAGTGTGGACCTGTATCGAGACAGTGCTCTGGGGGGTTAGTGGAGACCTGTAGTAGCGAGAAAGTGCTCTGGGAGGTTAGTGGAGACCTGTAGTAGGGAGACAGTGCTCTGGGAGGTTAGTGGGGACCTGTAGTAGCATATTATAGTTTAAAAACGCAATGGTAACAGACACATTAAGAGGACTGAAACAGCTAGACAAACAGACTACAGAATCAAAACATTCCCACACTGTAATGAGGCGACGGTACTAATAACCCTCAAGTACACATATCAAATTTCTATAAAATAATCTTGAACAAATTTGTACATTATTCCATGGTCCAAATGTTCAGTGAAAAGTTCTGAAGTGGTGAGATTGTGAACTGTATAGATTCCAGCACATCACCAGTTCGCACATCACCGGTCTGCACATCACCAGTCTGCACATCACCGGTCACGCGCCAGTCTGCACATCACCAGTCTGCACATCACCAGTCTGCACATCACCGGTCTGCACATCACCAGTCTGCACATCACCGGTCTGCATATCACCGGTCTGCACGTCACCGGTCTGCACATCACCAGTCTGCACATCACCAGTCTGCACATCACCGGTCTGCACATCACCAGTCTGCACATCACCGGTCTGCACGTCACCGGTCTGCACATCACCAGTCTGCACATCACCGGTCTCACATCACCAGTCTGCACATCACCAGTCTGCACATCACCAGTCTGCACATCACCAGTCTGTACATCACCAGTCTGCACATCACCAGTCTGCATATCACCGGTCTACGTCACCGGTCGACATCACCAGTCTGCATCCAGTCACATCACCAGTCTGCACATCACCAGTCTGTACATCACCAGTCTGCACATCACCAGTCTGCCGTCTGCACATCACCAGTCTGCACATCACCAGTCTGCATATCACCGTCTGCACATCACCAGTCTGCACATCACCGGTCTATCACTTGTGTAGTTGCACATCACCAGTCTGCATATCACCGGTCTGCACATCACCAGTCTGCACATCACCAGTCTGCATACCGGTCTGCACATCACCAGTCTGCACATCACCGTCTGCACCACCGGCTGCACCTCACCGGCCTGCACATCACCAGTCTGCACATCACCGTCTGCACATCACCGTCTACACGTCACCAGCCTGTACATCGCCAGTCTGTACATCACCGGTCTGCACATCACTGGTCTACACGTCACCAGTCTGCACATCACCAGTCTGCACATCACCAGTCTGCACATCACCGTCTACACGTCACCAGTCTGTACATCACCGGTCTGACATCACCGGTCTGCACATCACCGGTCTGCACATCACCAGTCTGCACATCACCGGTCTGTACACCACCAGTCTGCACATCACCGGTCTGCACCTCACCAGTCTGCACATCACCAGTCTGCACATCACCGCCCACGCCACCAGTCTGCACATCACCAGTCTACACGCCACCAGTCTGCACATCACCAGTCTCACATCACCGGTCTGCACATCACCGGTTCCCGACATTGTAGTGGAGGGGTTGTCAGACCACAGCTATATAGCAAGGAAAGCCAGACTTGACCCGACATTAGGGAGGTCAAGTATAGGTAACTCTGCGGTTGACCAAGGATTGTAAATCAACTAGCTCCTCCCATGTGTCACGGCCCCCAACAAAACATGTAAGAAGGCACCAGCCGACTCTTTCCCAATATAATAACCTACATCCCTGAACAAAGTCCAGACCTGACCTCACATTAGCCAGGTCAGTAACCTCGAGCCCAACTCAAGGCCACAAATCAACCAGGGCTCATGTCACACGGCCCACCTGATGACTTCTCCAGAAAGTACAACTTACAGTCTCTGAAAACGTCCAGACCTGACCCTACATTAGCGAGGGCAAATGTAAGGTGACCTTCAATCAGCTCAACCTGACGGCTGGTCTTCCAATATATAGGACGTCCGACTCCCTCAGTGAGGTTGTCTTGTAACCAGGAGAGCCAGCTACCACGTCCCCAGTCCGCTCGAGAGAAGCCCGCCACTAAGTGTAACGAAGTCTCAGCCGGGTCCATCGACAGTGCTGTCAACTCCACGTGTAACAGTAAGTGCTGGCTGTGTAGACTGTAGAAGTGCAGTGATCCGGCCTCCCCAACGATCGACTTAGTGAAGTGCCCATTCTAATTGTGAGGTTAGGTTATGCGAATACCATAGTCTATCATAAATTGTGTACGAACCCCCTATTAATCCCCATTGAACTAGTAAAATAAAGCTGTAACACGCATTGGTGTTTTATATACTACACTTGTACTGTGCCTGTGTTAATATACAGTGTTGACATCACACCCTCGAGACACTCCATTCCTCTGCCTATAATACTCTACTACTATAAACTCCTAACTTACCTCTTCATGTGAGATTTTGTCTCATTACAACATCACCAGTGTGCACATCACCACAGGGGCACAATAGGAGACGTGAGAAGGCAGCTTGTTTACTCTCCCAGACTTCGTGGCCAAACAGATATCCCCAGAAATGAGTAAAAAAAAATACATTGTACTTACACCTTCCTCACCACCTGTAGACAGCATGTACACAATATACAGGACTGACAGTTTTATAAAACAAATTTTCTAGAGGCTGGAGACAGTACACAATATACAGGATTGACAGATAAACAAGTTTTCTTGACGATTAAGACAAAGACTATCTTGTTTGACTTTTGTTTTTGTAAATTGTACATGATTAATATTGGTTTGTGGTTATATCTCTTAATTAGCTACAGGTGTGAGAGCTTGTAGTAACAGATGGGCTAATGGATCGTCTGTGAGCTCTCTCTCTATATGCCCGAGGCTAAGAGACGAGGGGGAAGGTAACCTAACCAAGTCACCAAGAGGAGGGTAACCTAACCTAACCACCCATTAACTGCTTTGAACATTAATGCCACAGCTTAACACTCGGTAGAGGGGGAGGCGGTGCTAGGCACATGATACATCAGCCCACAGTGTCATCACACTTTGTGACTAATTCTTGATGACTTTCTTTCGTTAGAACAAAGATTGGATATATGATGATTAGGAACCCCCGCTTACTTCAAATGACGAATAAACACCCCAATCCTAACCTAACTTAACCTAGACTAGCTTAGCCTAGCCTAGCCTAACCCCATGTATTAGCCCCTGTCTTATAGGCAGAAATATTTATATAAATGGGTTAATCCCATAAGATTTATATACCCTATCATCCCCTGTAACTTTCCACTAGCTTTGAGACTTATTTTCAGAGCACGTGTTAAGGTGTGCCCACGGGAAGTTGCGTCACTTAGTGCTGAGTTAAGCATTAAGTAACTGGCTCTCTGACTACCTATGACGGGCAGTAGTTTGATATCACTCACTAGAGGAAGACGTTATTGAGAACCATTGTTGCTGGTTCCGTCTTCCCTCGAGGGAGGTTTCAGATATATTCCGTTCTCCCTCGATAAGTCTCTACTCAAGTCTTCACTCACGAGAAACAGACGTAAACAAGCTTCACAGACAAGCTTGCCGTCTACGTTTCTAACACTCATAGTTACATTGAGTAAATTACTTAGGTGAAATAAACTGGGATGCCTATTGTCCACTACACTGCAGAGGGAAACTAATAGTAGTTAATGTTGGTAAAGTCAGTCGACATCATGAAAGAGAAGTGAGAGTGACGCCACCCAGACATGTGTGTGAACAAGTCTCGTGAGGTCGTGTTGTTGATGCTCACAAGGACGTGTGGTAAGTAGCCCTGGCTAGCCTGTAGCCTCGCCGTTACCCTGGACACTAGACGAGCTAGACCCATGCCCCTGTAGTCCTCTTCGGTCCTCAGCATGCCCAGGGCACCATACGTGGATGAGGCAATCCAGGACACGGGGACGACCTCATTTCTAGCAGCTAATATGTCGCCCAGCTCCACCGACGTGTCCTCCACAACGGTTTGGTCCAAATACACGCCTGCAGACGGCACTTTTTGGATAAATCTCCACATGGTCTGCAGAGGCGAGTCCTTAGCGTACTGGCTGGTCTCCAAGAGGTGCTGCAAACCGGCTTTACCCAGCAGACGGACACAGAACCCCGCCCTACACCTGGAGGAGGGGAGAGACGGGTTACTCAGAGCGGTAAGCCCCAGGACCATCCTCTGCTCCTATATCAAGTTGCTACACCATTAATTGTGAGTGATGTGTTTTCTCTTCTTCCTTCCTTTATCAAATTTTCTTCCCATCATATGACAGACAGCCAGTTCACATTTATCTAAGTCAATCGTCTTAATAATATCTCGTCAGTGTGGCTAGCAACTGTTTACCTGGTAATTAACTATTTATCCTACCAGTTACCATTTACCCATTTGTGTCCAGGTGAAGGTGCGTCACCTACCTGAGGGGTAGAGTGTCCAGGTGAGGGTGCGTCACCTACCTGAGGGGTAGAGTGTCCAGGTGAGGGTGCGTCACCTACCTGAGGGGCTGAGTGTCCAGGTGAGGGTGTGTCACCTACCTGAGGGGCTGAGTGTCCAGGTGAGGGTGTGTCACCTACCTAAGGTAAGTGTCAGGTGAGGTGCGTCACCTACCTGAGAGCTGAGTGTCCAGGTAGTTGTGTCACCTACCTGAGGCGCTGAGTGTCAGGTGAGGTGTGTCACCTACCTAAGAGGCTGAGTGTCAGGTGAGGGTGTGTCACCTACCTGAGAGTGGGGAGTAATCCCGGGTGGTGTGTGCCCTGCCTGAAGTGGGGAGTGTCCAGGTGAGGTGCGTCACCTACCTGAGGAGCTGAGTGTCCAGGTGAGGTGTCACCTACCTGAGGGCTGAGTGTCCAGGTGAGGTGGTAGGTGAAGATGTGATCCTGGGCGCTGTCGAGGAGGCTAGTCCTAGGTGGTGGGTGACCTCCTTGGCCAGGCCCAGCAGGTAGTGAGGATACACCCTATGTGCAATTCCCATGCCAGTCCACCAGGGGCGTCTCTTTCAGCGCCTTCTGCAGCTGGCACACCTCGCGTTCCCGGCAAAAGACGGTGAACTGAGAAGCCACGTCCTGGTGTGGGCGGGAGGGGGGGGGGTGCGTATAAACAAATAGACAGATGGTGGCCTTAGGTTAATTAGGTTAAGTTAGGTTAGGTCAGCATTACGATAATTAATCTTCAGGTGCAATAAGCTGGGGAATTAATCATCAGGTACAGTGAGCTGGGGGATTAATCATCAGGTACAATAAACTGGGGGATTAATCATCAGGTACAATAAGCTGGGGGATTAATCATCAGGTACAATAAGTTGGGGGATTAATCATCAGGTACATCAATAGTAGGCAAATTACTGGAAGCAATCATTTCAAACTATTCGAAATCACCTGGAGAAGCACCGATTGATCAATGATTCCCAGCATGGCTTCACAAGCGGACGTTCTTGCCTAACTAATCTATTAACATTCTTTTCATCAGTTTTCGAATCGGTGGACGAGGGGCACAATTATGATGTGGTATATCTCGACTTTAGCAAAGCCTTCGACAGAGTCCCCCATGAAAGACTAATTAGAAAGGTAGAAGCACATGGCATCAAAGGTAATATCCTTAAATGGATTAGGGTGTGGTTACAGGACAGGAAACAGCTAGTGAGCATTAACGGCACTAAGTCCCATTGGAGCAACGTCACAAGTGGAGTTCCCCAAGGCTCAGTACTTGGACCATTATTATTTATTATATACATAAACGACATAGATATCGGCATTGACAGCAACGTAAGTAAATTTCCTGATGACACTAAAATAGGACGTGTTATCAAATCTGACGAGGACTCGGCAAAACTACAGGAAGATCTAAACAAATTTTTCGAATGGTCTGAAAAATGGCAGATGAAATTCAACGTCGACAAATGTAAAGTACTCAGTATAGGAGATGCAAACAGGGAAACCAGATACCAGATGAACGACGATGCCATAGAGAAATCCGACTGCGAGAGAGATTTAGGAGTAATGATAAGTAGGAACCTTAAGCCAAGTAAACAATGTGTTTTTGCTCGTAACAAGGCTAATAAAGTACTTGGGTTCATACAAAGGAGTGTTAGTTACAAGACTAGCGAGGTCATCCTAAAACTGTACCTTGCTCTTGTGAGACCACACCTGGATTACGCAGTTCAGTTCTGGTCACCGTATTACAGAATGGATATAGAATCCTTGGAAAGAATTCAGAGGAGAATGACAAGACTAATCCCGGGCATTAGGAACCTTGAGTATAGAGACAGGTTAAAGCATTTTAATTTGCACTCCCTTGAGAGACGTAGAGCGAGGGACGACCTGATAGAGGTGTATAAGTGGAAGGCAGGGCTAAACAAAGGGGACATTACAAAGGTACTCAAACTATCCAACCAGTAGCGAACTCGTAACAATGGTTTTAAATTAGACAAATTTAGATTTAGGCGTGAAATAGGTAAACATTGGTTTGGAAACAGAGTAGTGGATGATTGGAACAAGTTACCAAATATCATCATTAACTCGAATATGCTGGATAGCTTCAAACATAGGTTCGATGCTCATATGAGCAATAGGGGTTGGGTGTAAACGGGACTGCCCAGTATGGGCCAATAGGCCCGCTGCAGTTTCCTCCATTCTTATGTTCTTATGTTCTTACAATAAGCTGTCACCGTGCAGCAGGAGGGTCAGCAGCACAGCACTCACTGTGCAGCAGCAGCAGGGTCAGCAGCACAGCACTCACCGTGCAGCAGGGGAGGTCAGCAGCACAGCACTCACCGTGCAGCAGTAGGGTCAGCAGCACAGTACTCACCGTGCAGCAGTAGGGTCAGCAGTACAGTACCTCACCGTGCAGCAGAGGGTCAGCAGTACAGCACTCACCGTGCAGCAGTAGGGTCAGCAGCACAGCACTCACCCCGTGCAGCAGGAGGGTCAGCAGCACAGCACTCACCGTGCAGCAGTAGGGTCAGCAGTACAGTACTCACCGTGCAGCAGAGTCAGCAGCACAGTACCACCGTGCAGCAGTAGGGTCAGCAGTCAGCACTCACCGTGCAGCAGCAGGGTCAGCAGCACAGCACCACCGTGCAGCAGCAGGGTCAGCAGCACAGCACTCACCGTGCAGCAGCAGGGTCAGCAGTACAGTACTCACCGTGCAGCAGGAGGGTCAGCACAGTACTCACCGTGCAGCAGCAGGGTCAGCAGTACAGTACGCACCGTGCAGCAGCAGGGTCAGCAGTACAGTACTCACCGTGCAGCAGCAGGTCAGCAGTACAGGCACTCACCGTGCAGCAGCAGGGTCAGCAGTACAGTACTCACCGTGCAGCAGGAGGGTCAGCAGTACAGTACTCACCGTGCAGCAGTAGGGTCAGCAGTACAGTACTCACCGTGCAGCAGCAGGGTCAGCAGTACAGTACTCACCGTGCAGGAGTATGGGAAGTCTTGCTTGAGAGTCTCAGCCAACCTGAACAGTTGCCCCTCGTCCGTCACTCTCCTGAAGACCATCACTGACCAGCTCTCACTCCTACCACAGTTTTACAAAGGTTCAAGCTTCCTGGATCACGTTACAGACGGATGCTGCAGGAGAAAGTGTCAAGCTGAAGTTGGTCTTTTGTAGTGTACAGCTTAATGTAACAAGCTTCAAATTATTATTGGATGTGTTTACTGTGATGATGGTAGTGTGATTTATTTATTTATTTTATTTATTTTTTTTACAGGGATTAGCCCACCCGGGCATAGTCACTGACCCACATCGGGGCCTGGGGGGGGAAAATATAATAATAATAATAATAATAATAATAATAATAATAATAATAATAATTGTTATCGCCGCTGGCTTATAAATGCTGGTGTCAGTTGTTGACGATCGCTGTCTTCCTCGAACAAACATTGGATCTCTCAGCGCCCCCAACGCGGCCTGCCCGTGAGATGTAGCGGCTGGGGGAGGGGCGGTGTTTACAGGATAAAGAGTTCCTGATTCTGCTGAATGTAAGGGTGACGTGGCTCTCATGATACAGATCGCCCTCTCGAGTGATGCCCCCACGCTACCTGTGACCCCGTCAGATACGGCGGGGGCGGTGTTTACCGCCGGCGTCAGTGCTGGCACCCTGGGAGTGTTATCACCGCTTGCGTCAGTACTGGCAAGTGAGTATTTAATGGTTTAAAAGGGTGGCGTGGCCGCCTGGACTAGAGGAGATCGCTCACTCGAGTGATGCTGTGAGGACCAGCCCTCGAGTGATGCTGTAAGGAGCTGCCTTCTGCTCGCACGGATAAACACCACACAAGCCTGTCCAAGAATTTGTGCTGAGATAATTTACACAGTACTGTTGTCTCTTGGAACACCATACTGGTCTGCATTTACCTGCACTTGTTTTGACCACATCAATAAATACTGAATGCATCAACAGGCGGGTTTTTTTTATTTATTGGGCACCCCCCCCCCCTACATCCTTGTGTAAGGTGAAGCGCAGAAGCGTTTACAGCGCCCAACAGGGAAGCATGTTAAGTTCATGCTTGCCTTTATGTCTCATGAGTTAAGGGCGTGTTTCAATCATTCCGTTTGACTTGCCCGTCACCTGAACGTCCTTATTCCCAAGGCGTTTATAATAATAATAATAATAATAATAATAATAATAATAATAATAATAAAGAACTAGAAAGAAACACAAAAGTGAAAAAAAAAGATCAATAGTGAGAAACAATATAAGTATGTTGTGTTTGTTAACGCTCATAGGAGCGTTATTGGTTCTTGGTTTTGGGTCCACCGATCTGTCTGTGAAGTATGGTGCTGCATCGGCCGGTGTTCAGTGGTTATGGGTTCCTGAGTGTCAATGCTTCCGGGAAGTGGGTATGACGGGTGGAAACACGTTCCCTCTCCCTCCAATGGGATGTTCCCGTCCCTGAAGCGCTGAGTGTCGGGAACCCTCCTTGGGTGGGTGTCGAGGTGTAGCAGCTAGACACTCCTGGTTCCGGCGGTTGACAACGGGTGTCTCGTGCATACCTCGTTGTGGCTGTCATCCCTTCACTCGTTTCCAGAAAGGGTTTTCCTCATGGTAATGACAGCATCTCACCAAAGTATCGCCTAAAGTCTGAAGTTGCTCCATATGATCTTTCATATTCTGCATCATTGCCGTCAATTGGG